AGTCTCTCAGGAATCCAGTTGTAAACCTAAGCAGTAGCAATCCTCTGGTCAAGCAAGGTCATCAGGCTTGAATTCTATGGGGTCATAAAGGTAGGTAAGAATTGTCCTCCAGCAGTGACCATCAAGCCTTGTTTTACAACCCCAAATAGGAGTGGTAAAAGAGGAGGTCAACTGAGTGCTAATGACTGGTTAGTATATCAAAAAGGGGATCTATGTGCTCAGTCTACATTCCAAGAAGTGGTTAGGTAAGAAGTTAGGGGTCTATAAAGTTAGTAAGGCTGTAAGAAAGGAGGGTCCAAGTTAAATTATGTAAAGGTATTACTTAAGGTCTACCTGACCTAGGCAGTGTCTCCTTGTGGAATTTATAGTAAATCAGGAGACTAGCATGTGGTGGTTTGGACTGTTATTCCTGTTAGTCCTTGAAAGTGGCTGAAGAAGATACCTGATTTCAGTGCTGAAAGGGGAGAAACAGATGGGCTGGGGGGAAGGAAGCCTTTCCTGAGGCTGTTCTCCAAATACCTTGAATGTATATGTCCAAAGAGTGATCAGTCCACACTGTTAGCAATTTTTAAGGAAAAATCAATTGGGAAACTAAGAAGACACACAAGATTTTCATAATAGAAGACAGCTGATATATAACAAGCCAAATAACACCAAATGCTCCTTGGAATTTGGCTTCCTCTGAAGGAATTCCTTGATCCCTTCAGGCAGTGGCTTTGCCATAACCAGCTGAGTTCTTATAATATATTCCTGTGACCTATAGCAGACTTCTCTGTGCTTAAAACTTAACATTCAACTTGACCCCACCATTTCCTGTTTCACAACTCCAAAGTCCAGTCTAAGACTGAACAAACATTTTCACCCCTTCCAACGGTCTCTTACCCAGCCATTGTTTCTGGTCTTTGAAACATACCACCAGCTTGTCACAGTGCTGAGAATTCAGTCATAATTGGCATTTATCACTCACTATACTTGAGAGCTCCTAAGCTCAGTCCTGACATTTCCTCTCTCGTAGCTCAGGTAACTGTCCACTGCTCATGCTCAGCTTTGCCAGTATCCAAACCCAAGCCACTATTGTCTCTTGCTTACTTACTAGCATTTCAAGTAACAATTAAGATTAAACTGTACTTTAAAAGTCTGCATTAGTTTATAGTACACAGAAGACATTCTGTAAGTGAGAAAATAAAATCTGCCACTCCTCCCTCACCCGGCCCTTCCTCCAGGCATTTCTTCATATATCTGCATATTCCTTAAATATGGTTAAAACAGGGTTGCAAGTGGAACAATTAAATCCATCATGGCTCTTTGTTAGGATAGAATGACTAGTGTAGTAAAAACCAGAAGGGAAAAAATTTACATATCGGGTTCAATATTTTCTGACAAAATTACATATTTAATGAGTGACATACTAAAATATGATCCATTGTGTCTAACACATAAATATATAGACTCATTATTTTGTATACTTGTATGAGTTTTAATTAAAGTATATAAAAATTATTTCCTATATATACAGACAATGAAGCTGAAAAATGCCCCAAAAATGGGGGTCCATTGTTAGAGGTAAACATTTTTGAAAACAGGTAGATGGAATCCTTTCTAGAAGGTTCCAATGACATGACACAAATCAAAACAACTAGAAGAGGAAACTTTGTTCCAGAAGGAACTGTGAGGGATCATCTCAGTTTGTGTTCACAGCAAAGAGGAGAACCATCACTTGTTGAAAGTATTTTTCCCAGGTCTGAAAAGGGAAAAGTAGGTGCATCCAAACAGAGTCCAAACCTTGGAAGGCAGCAGGAGAGAGACGCTAATATCCTTTCTTCTACAACTTCGCTGTTCACATTGGCCTATGGGCATCTTCATTTTGCTATCACTGATATTCTCATCCTTCTAAAACTATAACAACTACAACACAACCCCCTGCACTTAAGGCTCAGAGAACATTGCTGAAGAGGAGGGCAAAAGGATTTTAAGAACCAGAGGAACAGGAACAAGATGGTGTCTCCTAGAAATGTCAGAGAAGCCACATCCACGATGTCTCACCAACATGGATGCCTAAGCAAGACCTGAACAAGGACAGCAGCAATAGAGTGGGGGAGAAATTGCATGGGGCCCCACCTTTAGACAAAGAACTGTAGGAATGTATGGAATGCTGAGTGGGGGAAATAGTCTTCTTCAGGGAAGAGCAGCCCCCAATTGATTAACCAATGCTAAGTCATCAGCCTTGTAATCATATACATCAAGGAATATTGTATGGACTGAGCAGATTGCATTTTTATATTTAGGAGAGTGTGTGTATAACTACAGTTAAAGCAATAGAAGTCATGATTTTGAAAGAGAGTTTGGGGTAAACTAGAAGGTTTTGTGGAGAAATGAGAAGGGGAAAATGATGTGATTATATTTTAATATGAAAAATAAGCAGAATTAAGAATATAACTAACAGGTTTTCTGTATTGCTATAATATGTTTCTCTGCTGACACAGTAAGCCAGATCAAGCCAAACTGAAAAAGTAAAAGAACAAGTTTATTTGAGCAAAGCAACACCCAGGTGAGTTCTCCAGTCCCAGAGATAGAGGCAGGAGAAGTCACTCGCCCTAACTAAAGCAGGGAGGTTAAGCAGCCTGTAGGTGAAGGGTGTCCACCACAAGCAGGGCTTGTGCCCAAGTATGGTCGAAACCTGAACACTTTAGGTGGGGACTTGGGCTGCTGGCAACTTCAGGGGAGAAGCTGTTGCAAGAATTTAGAACTGGGCTTTTTGAAGCCTTTTCTTTGTTGGAGATTCTCTGAGAGGGCAGGGTTTGGAGAGAGAAAGATGGGACTTCTCAGACTGTGCAGGAGTGAGCTGGAGGTTCCAACCGAACAATAACAACTAAGAACACGGTGTAAATGTACAACTTGCAATGCAACAGATTCAGATTATGGTCATGATTTTGCCACTTACACATTGAATGATTTTTGGTGAGTCATTACCTCACTAATTCAGTAAGAGAACAGTTCTATCCCGAAGATTACATTATGTACATACAGTGTTTGGTGTACTTATCAATAAGTGGTAGATCAATTATCACTAGGAAGAAACAAAGCAATAATAATAGCACCAAGACTGAGGCAGGTGCTACTCATGTTGAGTCAGGGCTAAAGTTAATGAGCATCCCAAGGGCAGAAATTAGATCATGTTCTCTCAAGAGTTTTATGGACTCTTCTCTCCCCTGGTACCAAGGATGAGTTTCTAGGTAACCACTGGGTAAGAATCACCTAAGAATAAATCCACCCTCAAGATGTCTGATTATTACCATCAACCATTTTGTCTCCTTTTATCAGAATAAACACCAAAACTTTGGATTTTGCTTTATTTTTATCATTAGGATTTTTAAGTTCCACAGGATAGGGAAGCAGTGGTTTCTATATGGTGAAGTCAACTTTATTGAGTCAACGTAAATTCAGCCATTGCATTTATGTCCGCTCTCCTCATGATGCTCATCTTTTCCTTTACAGACCTTGAAAGATACATATGCCTAGACCAGTGGAAATTAACTTTACAAGAATGGTAACAGGGCAGCTGAGATGGCTTATCAGGTAAAGGTGCTGGCCACTGAGTCTGACGGCCTGAGTCTGAGCTCTGAAACCCACATAATGGAAACAGGAAATTAACTCTTACCCATCGTCCTCCGATTTACACACAGAGACCAAATAACATAAAAAAGAATCACAACAACAAAATAACAATAAAGCATTAATTTAATTATTTGAGAACTAAAATAAAAATTACAGAGTTCTGGCTTTTCAGTACTGACCCTATTAAATGTAATCTTGAAGCATTTATTGTTTCTAGATATCAAATTTCTTCAATATAATAAGAGGATTAAAATTGATTGTAATGTCAAACTTCTAGGATTATAAAAATGCCTACAGAAAATATCTATGTAACATCTTATATGCCATTTTTATAACCTCACACACACCTATATGTGAATTTCAGATTTTCATGAAAAAGGAGATTATAATCCAGGTGTCTGGAACAGTTCATGGGTAAGGTCTGCAACAGTCATGGGTAAGGTCTGCAACAGTCATGGGTAAGGTCTGCAACAGTCATGGGTCAGGTCTGCAACAGTCATGGGTCAGGTCTGCAACAGTCATGGGTAAAGGTCTGGAACAGCTCATGGGTAAGGTCTGCAACAGTCATGGGTAAGGTCTGGAACAGTCACGGGTAAGGTCTGGAACAGCTCATGGATAAGGTCTGCAACAGCTCATGGATAAGGTCTGCAACAGCTCATGGATAAGGTCTGCAACAGTCATGGGTAAGGTCTGCAACAGTCATGGGTCAGGTCTGGAACAGTCATGGGTAAGGTCTGGTCTACTGATCACAGTTGTTCACCTATCCAAGGCAAATGAGAAGGAACACTGGGAAATGCAAATTCTCGGGCCCTGCTCAGGTGCTCACTGCATCAGGAGCTACAGGGGAGCCTCTGTGCTGCAACCTCTCCTCCTGGTGATTCTGATAAACAGGAACCTGTGAGAACCACTACCCACAAACACTCCCAGGGAAGAACTATAGCTTAACTCTCTGCACAGGCAGTCAGTCACTGAAGGGGAAAATGGCAGGTTGCTCAGATATCCAGCTGGGACCAAGAGGATTTTACAGCAGGAGGGGCCGGCGTGGTTGGAGACTGTGGAGCGAGAGGCCAATGGCCCCACATTAAATCACTCTTTCTCATGCAGGCGTTTCTAACATAGGCCAGGAATGACTGGCTTTAAAGAATTCTTCCCTGTGAGGGTCCTAACAGAGGACACACACCCTCTATTCTGAGACACACCTACTGGGACCCCAGCCCCCAGAGTTCTTGATGGTGGAAATCTAAGACAGAAACAGTTTCTCAGGGTGATCTTGCATACTTTTTTCAGGTCCCTTTCAATGACATGCTTCTCTTGGTTTAATTCACACTTCATTTAAAGGGGGTATATGCTCAGAGAAAGTGGAATATTCTTGGAGTTTCTCTGAGCTAAAGGTGAGCTTGTCTAGAGAAAGACGCAGGGGTGAGAATAAGCCTGTGGAAACGACAAGGCAAGAACTCAGCATGGACACTCTTTAGGAGGTTTATAGAGGCCACGTTGTCATCCAGGACGTTTCCCTGGGAGGGGAATCCACGGCTTTGCAACTTCCTGGCCAGTGTGAGGGCCACCAGTCGGCTGTAACCTTTCCTGCGATGGTCAGGTAGGGTGTAGCCATGACACATGGTGGCGAACTGGTCTGTGATACCCCAGGACACTGGGTTTCCTTTCTCATCACGCACACACACGCTGGGAAAGCAGGCGATGAGTTTGGCTAGGTATCGGAGGCACTGCTGGTTGCCGCCACGTGACCAAGTCCGGTTGAGGAGATCAGCATCTGAGACACTTAGGTAGGTCAGTCTCGGGGAAGGCCCAGCTCTAGGAAAAAAATAAATAAATAAATAAATAAATAAATAAATAAATAAATAAATAAATAAATAAATAAATGGGCCCTCGGAGTCACGTGACTATCAGTAGCTACCCTTTTCATACGGATTTAAAATGAGAAATCATCTCCGAGACTATGTCTGGCTTTTTCAAGATTTTAAAACCTAAACATGTCCCACTTGAAAGATGAAACATGCATGCTCAGTTTAGTTTTATGCCCATTTGTTTTGATCAGCTCTGCAGACTGCGGTGTGGCAGAGGCGGCTCCTGCTGCATCTCCACTCTCTCTGGGAGAGGGAGTACAACTTAACTTAGGTTTGGATTGTTTACGTACTCACACAGGTTCTTATGGTTCAGCCAGTTACCAGCAGGCTGGAATCACTCCCAAAGGAGGCAGACACCTAGCTGATGCCAAGCATGTGATTCCCTAGTTTTCTCTCACATGTGTGTCCACCTGGATGGGTGAAGTGGTGGAATCTCTTTTGATTTTGAGTGCTGCCAGACTCTTGAATCATTCCTTGCACAAATAAGCGAGGCTACAGTTAACACACACATCCATGTTTATTTACCTATTATTATTGTTGTTGTTGTTACTATTAATTTCACCCAGAATTGCCCTTAAAGGATGTTTGTGAAGTCTTAGGCGGTCCAGATTTTTTTTTTTTGAGTCCTAATATTTTGGGACTAAATTGTATTCTAGCATTCAGGATCCTTCTGCTTTTGCATAGCCAAGGCTAGAAAATGAATACAAGTCACTATGCATATGCACATACTCTGGAAGAATTAGCTCCCCCCTGTTGCTCCTCTCTAGACTGAATATTCTCAGTTTTTCACTGGCCAACTTTTGCAGGACACTAGCTTTTATTTATTTTAATTATATAATAGAAGTGTCTAGTGGTTTTATATGTAAAAGCCCTGATGTCAAGATAAAGTTCCTGGTACATTTTAAGAACTGAAACAAGGGGCTGGGCTTGAGAGATGGCTCAGAGGTTAAGAGCACTCCATATTCTTCCAGAGACCTGAGTTCAATTCCTAGCACCCACATGCTGTCTCACAGCCACCGATGAGGAGATCTGATACCCTCTTCTGGCATGCAGGCACACACAGAGAGAGAGTGTGTTCATACACATAAATAAATTGATCTTAAGAAAAGAAAGAACTGAAACAAATTATAACCTATGTGCCTTGGAAGTCTTGGAATTTGCTTACATTGTGAATTTGTCAATACTACTTAACCCATTGACTAGTAAAGACTCATATTGTAGCCCTGTTGTGGTTGTAAAAATGTATCTAATTCACTTTTCTTAGTGGCCATCAGCTGTAGGCTTGGCCAATCTTCTATTCAGGGGGGAATAGGGGAAACTGACTTATGATTTTTCAGTTCAGCTTCGAAAGTATACTTCAAAGAAAGGGCAGAGGACTTCAAGCAGAAACATTGCCAAGGCAAGGATCTCAGGCACAGTGTGTCACATGTTTGTACCCGAAGGACCAAGCATGTGGAGTACCATCCACAGTCTGAGAATGGCTTTGGGGCTAAAGACAAAATGTCACCACTATGTGGGATCACCAGACTAAGTCCCATACTTTGGAATGGACAAGGATATTTTGAATAAGATACAGAAGTATGGGGGAGATTACAAAAATAGGATTACTTCCAGAAGAGATTCCAGAAGGCTCGCTATTATACTACTAACACACCATGGGAAAGGGCTGTGTACAGCAAAAGAAACAAGACAATGAAGGGAAACCCTGAAGAATGGTGAAAGCACTGGAAAATTATACTTGTGGTAGGTGTCTAATATCCAGAATACTCGGAATGAGGGAAACCCAATGGGGATAAAACCAAATAACCCCATTTAGAAACGATCAGTGGGCCTACAGAGACATTTTTAAAAATAAGGTATACAAATGGCCAAGAGGTATATGAAAAAACTCCAAATCAAACCCACTCTGAAACATCACCTCACTGCAGTTAGAATGGTTCCTGTCCAGAAGTCAAAAGACAACAAGGGGTAGTGAAGATGGGAAAAGGAAACTTTATACAGCACTGGGAGGAAGGTAAATTAGTACAGCTACGAAGGAAAACAGTGTGGAATACCTCAAAGAATTAAAATTACAATTGTAATATGATCAAGACACCCTATTCCTGAGAATATACCCCAAAGTAGTAAAGTCAGTCCCTGTTGACCACAGCATGCTTGACAATGAGCAAGACACGGATTCGTGTTAAGCATGTATGAACAATGTGATATATACACAATGAAATAATATTCATCCTTAAAAAGAAGACTCAGTCTTATCATCTGCAAAAACATGGATGAGACTGTTATTATATTAATCAAAACAAGCCAAGTGCAGAAAGACAAAAAGCACGTGATCTCACATACATGAAGAATCTAAAAAAATAATCTCTAGGAAGTAGAGACTGAAGTAGTGGCTAGCCTAGTCTAGAGAAAGCAAGTGGGGTGGGGAATCTTTGTCTTACCCAGGAGTCAGGGCACACACCTTTATTCACAGCACTTGGGAGGCAGAGGCAGGTAGATCTCTGAGTTTGAGGGCATCCTGGTCTATAGAGAGTTCCAGGACAGCCAGGGCAGCACAGAGAATCCCTGTGTTGAACGCCCACCACCACTAAAAAACAAAATAAAACCAAAAATCTTCTCTTTTAGATATACATTTTTTTTTTTTTTTTTTTTTTTTTTTTGGTCTTTCGAGACAGGGTTTCTCTGTGTAGCTTTGTGCCTTTCCTGGAACTCACTTGGTAGTCCAGGCTGGCCTCGAACTCACAGAGATCCGCCTGGCTCTGCCTCCCGAGTGCTGGGATTAAAGGCGTGCGCCACCCCCGCCCGGCTAGATATACATCTTAAAGGTGCTAGGATTAAGGATAAAGTGCATGGCATTCTGTTTCAGTTAATTGAGTAGGAGTACAGAATTCATAGGGGATGGTTCTCAGGATGTATGTGAAATCTGACCCCTGTGCTGGCAGAGGGTTTTCTACTTTCAGTGTTTGTGTGTTTCCATATTGTAAAATCATGAAAGAAAGTCCTAGTGATTTCCTGAGATTTCAGGGTTAGTTTGTGCTTACCCGGTCCTCTAATACCTACTATAGGAGCACAGAACTAACATGAATGGAGGTGGGCACCTTTTAATCAACCTTGTTTCATTCTTTTTTAAAAAAAAAAGTGTGTGTGTGTGTGTGTGTGTGTGTGTGTGTGTGTGTGTGTGTGTGCATGTCAACGTGAGGTGTCTTCTTCAATTGTTCTCCACTCTGTCTTTTGCGACAGGGTCTTCCACTAAACCAGAGCTGACTACTTCAGCTAGACTGGATGGCCAGCAAGCATCAGAGAGGCTCTTATTTGCCCCAGAGCAACAGGTGTTTGCTGCCACAACTAACTTTTAAGTGGGTGCTGGAACTTCTAACTTAGGTATTTGTGCTTGTGTCAAAGGCACTTTACCTGAGTGAGCTATCTGTCCCCCTAGTTCCTAGACCCCAATTCTGAGAAGAGATTGAGGTCCAGGAAGGATAAGCTGAAGGGAAGATGCTCACGACACAAGGCCTCCAAGTAAGAGAGGAGAGACAATGCAAACACACACTGACAAGTGTTTTCAAGGACTGCCTTCTCAAACTGAACTTCCTGTGATCAGTTCCTGGCCTCAGAACTCATTTGTGTGTTTAATTTCAACTCTGTTAGAAATAGAATCATGATGGTTCTACTTGAGAGGGCAGAGAGAAAAGGAGAGGGATATATTTAAATCATTTAGTTCCTTGTCCTTAAAATCTCAACATAAATCAGTAAAACACCTCTAGCTTTAAACAACAGAATCCTCCCCAACTTTGGATGCAGACCATAGGGATTATTTAGAATTATATTATGAAGAATGGAACCAAGAAATGGCTTTTCCATATATATATATTAATTACATATACTGTGAAAACGCAGGTTTCATGAGCTCAGTGACTATAGACAAAGACACTGATTTGAATTTCAGAGAAATAATAAGCAGTGAAGCACAGGAAAGAGAAAAAGAGTGTACATGAACACACACACACACACACACACACACACACACACACACACACACACACACACTCCTTAGCCCAATGGCCCATTTCAAAAAGCCTAACTATTCTTTTGCGATAATAAGTATTCCAGCATTGCTGTTGGGACTTGCATAACAGTAAATCCAGCTCCAAACATAGAACTTGTTTTACATACAGGAAACCGTGGTCTGGCACAGATGAAACAGGAGAAAAATGGACAGCCTTGAAGGAAGTCAGCTTTATATCCAAATCCAACAGCTTTGCATTGGCAACGGCTTTGGAAACAGCATGTAATTCACTTTGCAGCCCTGGATAACGACAGACACAAAGCCACAGTCATTCATTTCAGCATTTGTATGCCACATGTCATCAGTACCACTGTTTGATGTCATAACCATGATATCATTAGTTATATATGTATTACTACAGACATCCTCTACCTGATCTACAAATCAAATCATATTGTCGTGACCAGTCATGATCTTCCACTTCTACTGAAAAGACCTCAAGGAAATTTGGAATTTCTTACTCAAAGTTTTATTTGTTAATTTTCTTAATGCTTCAGATTAAATTTCTTGAAGAGCATTGTCTTATTTATGACTTTAAAAATTAAAGATCAAGTGTTTATAAGAGTTTAGATTTATTTAGTATGGTAAGGTGTGATGTTAGCTTCAAGTGGACAACACAGAATCATTTGGGAAGAGAGTCTCACTAAGGATTGACTACCTTGGGGTTAGCCTGTGGGCAGGTCTGTGCAGTATTGTCTTAATAAGTTAACTGATGTGGGGAGAACCAGCCCGCTGTGGCTGGCACCATTCGGCAGGCATCGAGCCTGAACTGTTTAAGAGTAGAGAAATCAAACTGAATACAAGCAGCTAAGTAAGTGAGCACGTATGCACATACACTCGTTTCTCTGTGCTTGACTATGGATGTAATGTTGGAAGTTCGTGCCTTGACTTTCCCCCAGGGATGCATGATGACCTGGAGCTGTAAGCTGAAATAAACTCCTTTCCCCCTTAAATTACGTTTTGTCATGGTATTTTATCATCCACAGGAATGAGACTAGAACACAAGGCAACTTTGAAGTTTCTCATCCATTTCCACAATGTCCATTATGGTATTCCAGGTGCAGCCTGGGGTTGGAAGGTTGAGCACAATGAACCCACCCAGATCCCACTCATTTCTCACAGTCATGCTACATTCTTGACACCTCTTTGTTTGGTATTTATTCAGCGGTGTTCTGGGCACCATCTCTTCCACCCCAGTACACAAATACAGGGTTTGGTCTCTGTTGTTAATAGCATTACCCTTCTCTCCAAGTCCCCCATTGTGGGAATTCGATCCATTCAACCAATGACCTTTGGGATATCTGGCCCAATGGGTGTGGCCCTTGTTGGGTACATGACCAGTTAAAACTGAGGATGGGGCGCGCTTGCTGTCTCTTGGGAGATGGGAGACCAGATGGTAGGTTCCCTTCACCCCTGCACAGACCAGAGGACGATGACGACGACCACGGCTGTTTACTTTGTTCTATACCCATGAGTGTATTATCCCCATTTTATATCTTAATACAATCTTGATATCCTTTAACAGAATCTTGTGGATTCGCATAACAGTCCCGCTGTTTTCTAGCCTTTGCAGTCTGACTCTTGGTGGACAGACCCCTCTGCAACTTGGCTTTCTATCTTCTAGTCTCATTACTGAAGCACGACAGTCTCTTTCTTCCCCTCCCCGCTCCATTTGTGAGCCACTTCTCAGTATGACCTTGAGACTACAACTGGGTTTGAAGGCATATTGAACACAGTGTGGTGGTTGAACCTTGACGCCTCCTTCTGGTAGCTAAGCCTCAGTAAAGACTAGGAAGTTTACAAGTTAAAGCTATTAAAATTACAGCTGAAATAGTGAATATCCCTTATTATCAAACTGAGTTATATCTAAGTAATCAAAACGTCTGTATTTTATTGGTTTTTTTTTTTTTTTTTTTGAAACAGTGTGCTATATATGTAGTCCATGTGGCTTAGGCAGCCTCAAACTGGAATCCTTCTGCCTCTGCCTCACAAGCACTGGGATTACAGGTAGGTGCCTCCATACCCAACACTCAAAAGATTGTCTACAAGAGAAAAATAAGTGGTACAAGTCAAAGGTAACATACATACTCTAGTATAGGAATGGTAACTCTATAAAACTCAAGTATGCATGTTAAGTATCTACGGGTCTGTCTCTGTCAACCTCTATATACTGTACATGTATGTAATATCTTTTAGGAGATTTATAAAAAGAGTGTGTGCATGTGTGTATGTGTACACGTACATGAGCACACTGACTACAGAGGCCGGAAGATAGTGTCAATTCCCTTAGAGCTGAAGTCACAGGTGGCTTCATGAGTTGCCTACACTAACAAGGGTCCTGGAAACTGAACTCTGATCCTCTGGAAGACCAGCAAGAATTCTTAACCACTGAGCCATCTCTCCAGTCTCCATGATATGTCTTTCTATACTTGTCTGGCATACATACTAAAAAAAGGAAAATGTGGGTATATAATATATACTTTGAACTTGACCTTACCTTGTATTTGAAAAACTTGGTCCCAGTTAATAACATCATGATCTTCCAATAGCTGCTGGTAAGCTCTGACATCCTTGTAGAACACAGCATATGCATTAGTGTAATGGTCAAGGTTATCTGTCTCAGCCTAGGGCAGAAGACACAGTCATGAATATAACACAAAAGCATATCTTCTGGGTAATCCACATCCTAGAAAGATTATCTATGATTACTATCTAGCTAATTTTCTATTGTTCAAATTAGTTACCTGGAAACAGAGGAACAAGAATATGGCTAATATACTATAATGAGGAAAATAGAGATCTTGTGATTTTTTTTTCTTGATTCTTTCTTCCAGAACTAAGAAAGTTTTAAGATCTTTCAGACTTTCTAGGATTTAATTTATAAAAATAGAAACTGTAGTGGCTGGTAACTGCAGTCTCAGCTGGGGGCGTTGTTGGGAGGCTGAGGCAGGAGAATTGCTTGATTCTAAGAGGCCAGCCTGGGGACTATAGAAAGAGTCACCTCAAAACAAAGGCAACAGCAGCAAAAGATGAAGTTTGCTACAAACATAGCTCGGCAGCTGGCCAGCATAGGCCAGATCTAGTTTGCTTTCTGTTGCTGTGAGAAAACAACTCTGACCAAAAGGCTTGGGGTGGGGTATTTGGCCTACATTTCCTGGTCACAGTCCTTCACTGAGGGAAGTCAGGTAGCAGCTGAAGAAGGTATTATGGAGGAATGCTTCTTTCTGGCTCTCGTTCAGCTGGCTTTCTTATATAGCCAGAGTCTCCCACACGGAAAGCTGTACCCCACCCCCATGCCAATCATCACAGACAAGGCAACAAGCCAGTGGAAACCGAACAGGGCCTCAGTTGAGACTGCCGCAGATGACTCTAGAACTCATCACATTAACAGCTGATGCTAATCAGGACACCTGGCTTTAACCCCTATCTACACACAGACACACACACACACACACACACACACACACACACACACACACACACACACACAAATACAAAGGGAAAAGGTAAAACTCAGTGAGTAGAATGTAAGAATGACAGCCCTCACAGTCTTCCTTCTGCAGAGGTTCTCTTTGGCCTTAGAGGGAGAATGAGGTCATTGGTCTCATTGTGCTGACTTCCTTTAATTTTCTCAATTTTTTTCCCAATTCCCCAATTCATCAGTCCTAAGAAATACCTACTAGTGAAGGAGCTAGTATGTTCATATTGTGTGCTTCATCTTGTGGTGGTATTGTGTTCCCCAAAATATTATGCACCCTAATGAACTTATCTGGGGTCAGAGAACAGAACACCCACTAGATACAGAGGCTAGAAAATGGTGGAACTCACGCCTTTAATCCTAGCATTCTAGAGGCAGAAATCTGCCTGGATCTCTGTGAGTTCAAGGCCACACTGGAAACAGCCAGGCATGGTGACACACACCTTTAATCCCAGGAAGTGATGGCAGAAAGCAGAAAGATATTTAAGGTGTGAGGACCAGGAACTAGAGCCTGATTAAGCTTTCAGGCTTTCAAGAAGCAGTTCAGCTGAGATCCATTTGGATGAGGACTCAGAGGCTTCCAGCCTGAGGAAACAGGATCAGCTGAGGAACTGGTGAGGCGAGGTGGGTGTGGCTTGTTCTGCTTCTCTGATCTTCCAGAGATCAGAGTTCACCCCAATACCTAGCCCAAGATTTGTTTTATTAATAAGCACTTTTAAGATTCGTGCTACATCATCTTCTAGAAATTGTGAGTCATTAAAGGAACACTTGCAGGCTAGCAGTCTTCCATATGCCTGAGACTCCAAAGGTGTCAACTACAAACCATTGATGAACTGCATACCATGTGAAGATAATGTATGCTATTACAATGGTCATCCTGCTCCCTTTGTCTAACCCGCACTTTCCAGTTGGTGCCGATTTAACTTTTAACGTTTCTTATTTGCTTTTTAGCACTGTACCTCTCTCTGTCGCCGGGTGATGACAGCTTTGAAGTCCGGCCATGAGTCCAATATTACTTCCTTTTGAAAGGGATTTCCACGATTTATGTTCATCACCGCTCCATAAACCTGAGACAAGATAATCACAGCACTAGCTTTTCCAATTGCATCGCCTTCTTCCTCTCTACTCTAAAATCACAGTCCCGGGAGAGGAGTTACAGATACATTCACGTGCATATGCACAACACGGATTTCTTTAGAGTAGCCCTGAGAGAGGAGTTATAGATATATTCACACACATATACACAACATGGGTTTCTTTAGAGTCATCACTTCAAAGATATTCATGGAAACTGATTAATAAGTCTGTTAAATCCTGATACCCTATAATCCTGAAGAAGCTGAGAGAATGCTTGGTGACTGAGCACCAATTAATATGAGGGTACTATGAGGAGCTGTTCTGTATCTTTCCCATCCTTTTCCTTCATGAGGAAAAATGTCTGTCCTAAAATCATGTACACCCAGAACTGGTGAAAGTTGCAGCACAGCAAGGATTGCGGAGCTAATATTCATAATATTTTCATCATTATCATCATCATCATCAAACAGGAAACACCTAACTGTCCATCAACCCAAAGCCAACTTCCATGCTCACCACAGCCCCGTTTTTACATTTATTAGAATCTTTGACTTATGACATCTTTCACACTGTCACACAGTGATCAGCAGGCCCCCTTGGATTTTAGATAGAGGCTTGAGTGACCAAGAGGTAGCAAACCTGCAACAAAAACTTCAGTCCTCAAGCATATTCTTACTTTCAGCGACACAAAATTCACCGTCATCTATCATTTAAAACAGGTTACTTCAAAAATAACATAGTCTGGATTGCCCAAATTCCCCTAAGGAGTCCTCCAGAGCAACAGAAGGATGAGAGGAGCAGACTGGGACACTAACGTGTTCATCAGAAAAGAGCAGTAATAGCCACATGTCGACATTATCTCCTAAATTAGTACAATAGAGAAACTTAGTACGATTAGGATTACACTACCTTGAGTGATTCAGGAAAGTGACTCTTCAACATTTTCTCCAGTACAAGTAATTTGGTGGAGCAGTTTAGCACCAACATCGTCTCCAAAGTTATGCACTTCCGCACCTAACTAGAAACTTGAAGATAGATATTTAATTTCTGCCTATTAACACTGGATGCTACTTGGAATATGCTGATTTCTTTTGGTATAACGCCGACGCTTCCTTTGAAGAGGATGGAAATGAAAGGTAGGGAGGCCGCAGGGTAGGTAAACCAGTGAATATGTGGAAATGGAGATCACTAGACCTAATCCTTTACAGAGGGGGCTACACAGCCACTATATTCTGATCATCCCCAGCAGGGAACTGGTAAGAGCTGGACTTCTGCATTTAAGTGTGTTGTTTGTTAGTCTCAAATAGCTTGTTGGCAGCACGAAGGGAGGGCCTTCCCGGTTTGTTATTTTCCTTAGGATCACCTGCCGTGTAAGTTGTGTGTGATAGAAGAGAAATACAGACACCTGTGGACCAATGAATACAGGGAGGAAAGAGAAATAACTAGGTTTGACCCATGAAGCCAAATAAAAACCCCAACTCCTTTAGAGACAATGGTCTCCCTGGCTCTGGAGGCCTCTCCGCTGTTGGAGGACTGTAATGCTTGTCAACAAATGTCACCTTTGGTTTGTCCTGAACTCCTTCCTGTCTCTTAAGTGAAGGATAAAATGACACCACCTGCCAGCTGTATCGTCCCCTAAATGCCGAGAAATAATTTTTTGAACACAGGTAAATATATATCTATACATATCTATATAGATAGATATAACAATTATGTTGAAATTAAAATTCAGGCAAATGGAAAATAAGATATAAAAGGAATAGAGCCAAGAGAAAGTTTAGTCTATAAACATAGACTATAGTCCAGCAGATAGAATCTTATTTCTAGATTCCACATGTGATAACCAGTTGCCTTCTAACTAAGATTTATTTGTAACTGCCGAATCAATCCTGGCAATGTTGTGGCAGCTTTCTGTAGATGTTCAAAGAACAATAAAAAAAAAAAAACTGTCTCCTGACACACATTTTCAGTGAAGTTCAATGGAGAGCTTTATTGTCCTATTTCACTTCTTTTTTTTTTTTTCTTTTGGTTTTTCGAGACAGGGTTTCTCTGTGTAGCTTTGTGCCTTTCCTGGATCTCGCTCTGTAGACCAGGCTGGCCTCGAACTCGCAAAGATCCGCCTGCCTCTGCCTCCCGAGTGCTGGCTATTTCACTTCTTATGATGTAAACAAAAGTCACTATTTATTGCTCCTTTTTATTTACTTAAATAAAAAATACCTTTTGTTAGTAATTTCCTGTTTAAAATGTGTGGGTAAGCAATGGGGCAGTGCTTGGCCCTAAAAGGGACAGCTTTATCTCTCTCTTTAAGGCTCAGGGAGTATAGGAGAGAGGTAGGGAGAAAGGGCCAGAGGGTCGGAATGTGCAGCAAAAGATGTTTCCTCAACATGACATGACTGTTGCACTCGTGGACTCCCCGTGGTTGTGGTTTTCTCTATAAGAGCAGACCTGTTAACATGTCATCATGGATGGAGAGTGAGAGGCTCCTCGTCTCTGGGACTGACTGTTGGCAATTAACAGGTCTTAAGGAAGGGTATGCCATTTTCTTCAGTGCTGAAGCCACTGATGAGTGGCCCTTGTTCCACTGAGTAACCTCCCACCCATGTTCAAGGGGAAGGAACTCTAATCAAGTGCAGTGGCCTTGCACAAAAGGAAGACATGGTGGGGAGGGTTCGTTAGGAAGGGGGATGAGAGGGAGGAATGGCAGGCAGCAGGGGTGAAAGGAAATAAAGCTCATGCCATAAATATGCAAAACTGTCGAACAATTAAAAACATTTAAAAACGGCTCCTAGGCATAGTGCACAACCGCTGCTTAGATATTCCCAAGTGCAAGGAGGCTTTGGTGTCTTGCAGGAATAACACGTTAAGTAAGCATTGTTCCAGCATGAGTTTTAGTGTTACTGACCAGTTCGATGAGAGCCAATCAGCAATACATATCGAATTAAACAATGTCTTTAAACGAAAAGAAAATACAAAGTGAGGTTATGTACTGTGAGTGAAAACAGTTTTGTAGGAACCTAACTCAGTGTCACTAGGAGCAATGTTTCAGTATCAACTAGATCAGTGTAGCACATGACATTACAGACTGAAACCCTCCACAGTGAGAAATGACAGGCTGGGAGCTCACATCTAACACTAAACCTTTCCAGCCGCTAACACGAGAGAGAGAAACACGATTAGGTGCTGCTTCAGCCGTCTGTAAAGTTATTCCATGTTCTTTTCCTGGCATTCGCTTCGTTTTACCTGTCTGCCATGGCTACACTGCAGCAGTCCAGTTTCCTACATTCAAAGCCTCCCTGGATCAGTCTCCCTTTTAGGCTTAGTTCTTGCCAACAAATTACTCAGGTGAAAAAATTAAAACCATACATTTCCCAGGGTCTTCCACACATGATACTAACTTTAACACACAAGATGTGAAAATGCCTGTTCAATAAACAGTGATGAATTTTATAGGTGATCTTCACTAAATGTGAAGATTTGGTTAACGCCACAAAACAGAATATGAAAATTCCCATAGATCAAGAAAACTATATATATATAGTGTTAGTGTTAAAGTTACCAGACTGTCATATCCTTCCCACTCCACTACATGTCCTTAATAATCAGAATGTCTTCTAGAATTGGAAAGTAAAGGTTTATAACCCATTGAGGTAAACTTCTATCAACAGGCACACACATAAAATCTTGCCAAGGAAAATAAGGTTTTCAAGTTTTAAGAACTCAAGTTTCTTCAGGGACATTGTTTATCAACACAGGAAAAGTATTTGGAAAATCTTATTGACCAATCATACAATTGAAGTATGACTCACTCTTGGAAAATGATATTTATAAATAAGTAAAACAATTTGTTTTCATAGTGGTACACAATGGCCAGCATCTTTTTTTTTAAATTTTTTTATTTTTAGGGGAGAGCTCATATGAACATAGGCTCCTGCTACCATAAATTATGAAATCCTGTTTACCAAATTTGTAGAAATTGCAGGGGTCAGTACATGCTAGGTGTGATGGAAGAACCTTTGAGTCTTGCCCTGGGGAAACTACCTTCTTTATTATGGCTATCTCTGCTGCCAGTAAGCTGTTAAATTGTATTTAAATTGCAATTATTAACTTTAAAATGTTTTTACTTTTCTAGGGCTACTTTATCAAAAGTACTACAATCTGAGTCATCTAACACAAAAGAAGTTTACTTTTTCCACAGCTCTGGAGGCTAGCTAGTGAGGAAAGGGTTTTGGTAGGCATGCTGTTGCTCTAGGAAAGAGTCCTTTGCTCTTCCAGCCTCTGGAAGCTGCTGAAAGCAGACTCCAGTTCACAGAACTGTGTCTAGGGAAGCTCCTTGCTGAAGAGAAGAGCAATGAATACACAGCCTCTGACGAAATGTCAATTTTAAGGCTACTATTTGAGGAATTCATAGTTATTTTCGGGGGCAGCAGATTTGCATGTTTTAAAACCATTTTCCTTCAGCTGTGAATCTTTGAATGCAGCTCTGATTTTTGATTCTGATATAAATACCATTTAACAGGAAAAAACCAAAACCAAAAACCAAAAACCAAAACCAAACAAAAAACCAACACACACACACACACACACACACACACACACACACACACACACACACACACACACACACACACACCAAAAAGCACCTCATCAATTAGGTGCACAATTCCTGTGTTTTTTCTCTGTATGTGGCACTTTAGACAATAGGGGAAATGAATCAAAATTAGGGTTAATCCAGCTGGGATCTCCCGCTCCCCGAAACTCTCTTTCCCTCCACCCTCACCCTTCATTACCCCCACTCATATGACCGCTGTCATTTCTTTTTAAACAAGGAAAGTTTCTTTTGAGGACTTGTAATCCATTGCTTGTAATTACCACATATTAAAGGACATTTGGTTCAGATGATGTATCTTTTGTTACTCGTTATAATCACACCACAGAGCAGTTTAAGACTTTGTAATGCTTATTTTCCCACCGAAATTTAAGGAGAAAAATGAAACCACACCAAAGCATTCTTTCCTGTAAACCTCATAACGTATCCTATCTATCTAAGGTGAATTTTATCTTTTCTGTTTCTCTCCTTCCTTTCTAATGATAGACTGATGACTTGGAGAGTGTTACTTTCATAACATACCTTGCTGTTGAGCGTTCAGTCGCAAACAGGTATTTTAGCTGCGTCCATGCAGGGCTGCTTCTGTGTAAATGGTAAACTTAGACGTCTGGGCTACTTTTCTCATTAAGCCTTAGTGAAAAGAGGAGGGAGAATGGCCCTACCTGGGGAAGGGGTGGGGTTTATGCAGGGCCTAATAATAATCTCAAAACCAGCACAGGTATTTTCTGTCCCTTTCTTTTCAACCCCATCTAGTCTTGTAGTGTGAAATTCAACATATGAATCTTGAGCAGGAGATGGCTAGTCAGATACATTTTATACACGCAGCCTACTAATTTATTAGAATTATACTAATTTATTAGAATTCTATGGGTGGGGTGTTGGGGAGAAAATAGGAACAGAAGCCAGGCAAAGGTAGTACAATTGGAAAATGTGTTTGTACCAACTTCTCGGATGTTTTTAAATTGTTTGCAAGGAAATGATTTTGTTGCCCTAAACTTTCAAAGCTAAAAAAACCGTAGAAAAGGGTATTTGTGGAACTGAGAGTCATTTTGAGAATTTTAATTCCTTCACCACATCCTTTTAAATGAAAAGTCAGGTTTTGAATTTCCACTACCAAGTGGGCACTTAACGAGCATCTCAGCACAAGATGTACTCCACGGGTCTTCAGATAATAAGCTGCAGAAATGTGTCCCTGGTACACAGGACTGCTTTCTTGAAGTGGTCATGAAGGAGGACACTGTTTACCATCTTAGTGGCTAAGACTAGGTAAGTTAGAATGTTTTTACTAAGACACTAGTCTAAGGAATAAAATGAGTAACCCAGCAATTGAAAACCTGCAGTTTGAGAATTCATTCTGTCAATTACCTTGTGCTAAAATTAAGGCTGTGAAGAGAGGGAAGAGGGATTATATGAGCAAGGTGGGTTAAGATCATCATGGGGAAATCTAGACAGACAACTGAACCAAGCTCGTAGGAACTCACTTTTAGACTGACAGCTGTGGAACCTGCATGGGACTGGACTAGGCCCTCTACATAGTGGAAACAGTTGTGTAGCTGGGTCTGTTTGAGGGGCCCCTGGCAGTGTGATCAGGATCTGTTCCTGGTGCATGAGCTGGCTTTCTGGAGCCCATTACCTATGATGGCACAACTCGCACAGCCTTGATGCAGTGGGGACGGGCTTGGACCTGCCTCAACTGAATGTACCAGGCTTTGCTGACTCCCCATGGGAGGCCTTACCCCTTTTGGGGGGAGGGTTGAGACTGGGGGGGGTAGCAGGAGGAGGGATGAGAGGGGGAGCTGTGGTTGGTATGTAAAAGGAATATTTTTTTTTAAATAAAAAAGAACTAAGGGTGTTAGATACTGGCATAATGATAAAAACGCAAAGCATATACAGGCAATATACAGCTTTTTGTGGTCATAAGAGTTTTCTAAGTAGTTTTTAAATAAATGCTAAGAAATATAGAATGAGTTTGAGGCTAGCCTGGTCCACAGAGTGAGTTACGGGACAGCCAGGGCTACATAGAGAAACCCTGCCTCAGGGAAAATAAAAAAAGAAATACAACCTTAAAAAATGAACTGATACTATTATTGCAAGATAGAACCATGTGTGTATAGAGCATCCAAGGGAATTATTTAAAGTTATAGGTAAGGTTATTATTTATGGCCTTTGAGAGCTAAGTGTCTCCCGAAATATAAGTGATATCCTGTACAAGTGTTCTGAATAACATTAGAATGGTTGCTTCTGGCCTAAAGGAAACTAACAATGGCAAAGTGCACTTTCCAGAAAAATTGAATAGGTTGAAGATGATTAACCTGCAGTATGGCCTTTCTAGTATGGTGAACACTCAACTCCAAACTTAAAGGAAAGAAAGTGTGTAAAATAATAAATGTAAAGGGGTTTCCCTCAGTAAACACAAGTGATAAATGTGTACTTCACTTATTATTTCCAAAGAACAAAGATCCATGCTGCTGTAGGGGATCCACTGATATTCTAGTTGTAGTCCAGGAAGTTTCTAGGAAGTCAAGGTTCAACTACATTGTCCATTTTCAAATTCAGTCACTGACTATTTGTGACCTTAAGACAGTTACTTAACTTTCTAGTTCCTTAGTTTATCTGCTGAATGGATATAATAGTGAGTATTATGGGGTTTAATTCCCATTGGATTAAGAAATTAACTATTGGTATGGGGCAGGAATGAGCTCGAGTGCATGTGTACACACACACACACACACTGGCATGTCAGCCTCTAACACTGTAATTGTCACCAAGTCCCCTCTGTTGTATTTGTCTCATTTGAAAATGTGCATTAATTTTAAGAATTTCCTTGGGATGAAAACAGTTGCAATTGGCCAAGATATACCTTTTCTATTGGTCTACATACAATTTCATTTAAAAATGAATTCTAAAAGTTTCATTGAATTTGGAAGACATCTTTCTTTCGTCTTTCTGTTCAATTTGAATGGAGTCATGACATCTGTGTACCACTGCTATAGTCATTCACAGCTCTGTCACAGAGATGATTTTAAAAAGGGAAGTGAGCTGAGTGTGGTGGTACATGCCTGTTAACTCCAGCCTTCTCTAACCAGAGCCAGAAGGATTGACACTTATTCCAGGCCAGCCTAGGTTATAAAGTGAGGCCCTCTCTCTAAAAACTCCAAGAAGGCAAACTCCTAAGTCAAGAAAAAGTGGCCGTGTGGTGATTTAGTAGTACGGAAATGTAGGCTCACACCTGTAGATACGCTATCACTCAACTGGGAAGCTTGAATTTCTCTATTTGCTCTCCTTCTTTCCTTCTCTTTCCCAAAGCCTAGTATTTCTTGACAATGAATGAAACATGAGAAGACTTAGACATGCTTAGAAAAGAAGCCAAGTTGAACAATCCAAATGCTAATTTTGACAGGTGCAAACTGCATATTTTTGGTAAACAGAGAATGAAATGATATCCAACGAAATAAAGTAAATCCTTTAATCGTAGGTTCTACTGCAGGTGTTTCACATTAAACAGAGCCTAATTGTTGAAGAAATGCCCAACAGAGTTGGGAAGGAATGGAGAGGCTCACATAAAGAATTTTGAATGACTGACATGACATGGAGGCTATAATTTACCTGTATAGTGTTTTCCCAAAACAGTTATACCAAGTTACTGTTGTATGGCAGTTTACGCAACTTATTTACCTGTTAGTTTAATTCAACAGTTTTCATTTTGAGTTCAAAATAAATAAACATTCCCCAAACTAATTGGTGAACGCACCTATTTTGGGTTTTAAGGTTGAGTATCTTTAAACATTGCTTGCCTTTAAAACTTTTCCCTTAGGAATTAATCCATTTTCTCTTGGCATTTAACTTATACCCATTTTGTGGTTCTCTCTATATAAAGACTTAGTTTCATATATGTTGAATTCTCTAGTCTGTAGGACTCTAGTCTGTACTCCTATGTGGCTTGGCTCTTAAATCTTTTTAAAAACCATCAGAGCTTCATGTAGTTATCTACAATGTAGTATCATTACAGCTTTATCTTTGCTTGCTAGGACACGGGCTATTGCTATACTGACACCTGCTGTCCATTCATACCTTATTTATTTAGCATTTATTTGGCCTTAAAGAATATTAGGCATGTATTTATCTGAAAACATTCACCAGAAGTATGTTAAAATAAAGCATTTCAAGAAAAACTATGGTTCTGATTGCCTGTTAGGTCTCAGACAGTAGCACAGATATAAGTTAAAGGCTATATAGTTCCAAAGCTAGGAGGGCAGCATGACCAGTTCATCCTTGGCAATGAGGTGCCTCTCACTCAGCAGTACTGTTAGACTAAAATTCTAGTTGACTTGAAATCATGTCTTGTAGTAGAATATTTGAAGGTGTGTTGCTTTTGTTTATGTTGCGTTTAACTCTGTGAAGCTGTGTTACTGTGCCTGGGTAAAACACCTGATGGTCTAATAAAGAACTGGGCAATAGCAAGGCAGGAGAAAGGTTAGGCAGGGCTGGCAGGCAGAGATAATATAGAGAGGTAGAAATCTGGGAAGAGAGCTTGTTGCTAGAGTTTTCCTGCCTGGCCCACAGTCAGGACAAATCTCTCTCACCCGCCAGTCCCAAGCCGCTCAAACCCGATCAAGTAAACACAGAGACTTATATTGGTTTCAAACTGTATGGCCGTGGCAGGCTTCTTGCTAACTGTTCTTACAGCTTAAATTAATCCATTTCCATTAATCTATACCTTGCCACGTGGCTTGTGGCTGACCGGTACTTTACATCTTCCTTATCCTGATGGTGGCTGGCAGTGTCTCTCTCTCCAGCTTCCTGTTCTCTCAATTTTCCTCTCTGTTAGTCCCGCCTATACTTCCTGCCTGGCCACTGCCAATCAGTGATTTATTCATTGACCAATCAGCAACACATTTGACATACAGACCATCCCACAGCACCTCCCCTTTTCTTTTCTTAAAAAGGAAGGTTTTAACCTTTACACATCTCCAAAGTCAGCTTGGTATATTTGGGAATTTGGGCGTAGCTTCTCTTACTACTTCCTGCTGGAGGGGGGCGCTGTGTCTTCTGGGGAAACAAAGAAAATTTTAGGATCATGGAGTAGTCCGTGAGGCTGTATCATCTGAGCCAGTTGTCTTGAAACGGTTCTGGATGTTGGATCATCTGGGCCATGGTGTCATCGGAGACCTTTCAGGGGGTCTTGGCTGGTCAAACCTGATGTATCTTACTCTGGAACAAATCCATAGCCTCTTGCTTTCTGTGGAAACAAAAGAGACTCTTTTCCAAAGCAACATATCCTTACATCCAAATTTTGAAGTCAAAGTATCTTTAAAATATACGTACTGGTTTAACTCAGCTTCCTTTACAATCAAACATCTCTCTGTAGTTAAGAATCCCAAAGACAACACAATCCAGACTCTCTGTGTAATAGTCATCTCTACGTGGCTTATTTTTTATATTAATTTTACTGTCTCTTTAAAGACTTTATTTTTTAAAACCATGTATTTGTTTCTATACTGTATATATCACCTTTTTTTGTCTCTTTTAAACATTTTAAACTATTACATCTGAATCTGTCTTATTGTGAATCTATTGCTTTAAGCTGCAGCAGTTGTGGCTGCTGGCTCCGCCCACTGCAGCTTCCCAGCATGGCGGTGGTTTACCACCAGCTCTGGGAGCTATCGTGGGTCTATGCTTTTATCCAAGCAGCGTGTAGCCCAGAAACCTCTTTTTTTGTTTTGTACTAGCAAAGGCTAAATCCACAATGTAGCTTAATGTGCCACTTGCAGAGGCCTCATTCCCGCCATACTGCAGGTCGAGCGCGCACGCCAGCAACCCGCCAGTAGCTCAAACCGGCAGCTGCCGCTCATTTGAGAGAGACAATTAGGAAGCTGTTTTTAGCTCTGTTTTAGAATCTTTTTTCTCAGGTTTTAGGTGGAAACTCTTGCCACCACATTGGACGCCATTTGTCAGATACTTTAGGCCTGTAGCCAATTTGAATGCACCAACAATGCTGAGAAACATTAGGTGACTGTCCAGGCTGCCAGCTGTCTCCGTCTACTCTCGCAAGATTCCCGAAAGTTGTTTGCATCCATGTACCATTTCTCAGGTACCATTATATTCCTTCTCAGGTCTTTGATGGGATTGAAGACTAGCAGTTATAGTTACAACTTAGTAGATAGAACATATTAAGTATTAGATTCAGGTTCTTTAGGATAGGACACCTTTTGGAAGGATCTTTGTAACATGCCATTTACCTATGCTCTATACTTCTCTGGACTTTAGTATGTGTTTCTTGCTTGATATTGTTTGCATTGGTTGTACTTCCATCTTATCTAGGTCATTATCCCTCGTTATTCCTGGACAATATTTGATAACCATTCCTTTGTATATAGTCTTGTATTAGGTTAGAACTTTCTTATTTAGACAAAAAGGGGGAGATGTAGTGGGTAGCCATTCCAGCTTTGATCTGGAAGTTCCAACCCCCATTGAGACTTCGGCAACTGTCACGCCTACAAGGCGGGGCCAAGGGAGGCGCCGGGGGGACCCGAGATCGGGATCGGCGGGCGCTCTCTCTGTTGCGGGACCCTGGACTGGAGAGGTGGACTGAGCAGAGCTCCAGAGAACACCGCTGGACTGTGATACACCTTCCCCAGACTCCGCGACCTACCTATTCCTTAATTTGTAAGTTACGCCATTAAATAAATCTCCTTTTAACTACATGGAGTGGCCTTAATAATTTCACCAATAAGAGCTCTAAGATCTAGGAGCCAGAGAAACATGAGGACTCCAGGTGCCAGCCACCCAGCTACATTGCAAGCTATGGCGTAAGAATAAGATTTACAGAAGTTAGAGAATGGGAAAAGGCCAGAGGTAAAAGGTAGACAGGATAATTTAAGATAAGGAAAGCTGGCTAGAAACTAAGCCAAGCTAAGGTCAGGCATTCACAATTAAGAACAAGCTTCTGTGTGTGTGATTTATTTGGGAGCTGGGTGACGGGCCCCTCAAAAAAGAGCAAAGACCAACCAATAATATTTTGAAAGTAACACACCTTAAAATATCCTACTAAAATCTCTCAAGCAGATATCCTGAGGAAAACAGCATGCTGGTGTAAACACTCTAGGTAAACAATGATAACTTAAGGTTCGATTAGTATAGAAGCTTGAAGCCATCCATTGCTGAGTGGAGGGTTTAAAGGCATTCTGTGGAATCTGGTCCTTTCCTGAAGTCTTCCTGACCATTACTTCCTAAGAAGAGCCTGCTTCTGATTCTTTGGAATCGAGTAGCTCCAGGACTCCTAAGACATGATTATTTCCCTCTATAATAGGCATCAATATCAACATACTTAACTGTAGGTGAATTCTGGGGAGCTCTGCTTGGGGGAAATTAGTATTTTGGCATTTCCTTAATAAATCAACAAAATATTCTTTATTAGAAATTTTTCTTACTAAAAATTCAATTGCAGTTATAAGTAGATTAAAAAAAATCCAAGCCAATATAGTACTGCTGCTTAGAGATGATTTCTGACCTGCGTATGGAATTATTTCTTTACGTACATAAACTCGTCATGAGGCAAGGTTTATGCAAAAACACTTTGATGGGATACAGCTTGACATAACTAATGTTGTCTTGGTCAAAACTGCCACCTGGCCTGGCCCATATCTTACTCTAGAGGACAGTTGTGGAGATGTGAGATGAACACCTGTGGTGGGCACGAACACACAGGCTGCCTCATGAGTGACATGCATTAACAGCTTCTCCGAAAGCCCAGGTCTGGCTTCCCACAGCAACCCTTCTTTCTCCTGCAGGGTGCTGGGTCTTCCTCTCAGCTGCAGGTCTCACACATGACAGTCTGTAACCCTGGATGGGTGGCCTCCTCCTTCACCTTCTGCTTCTACCTTCAGCAGTCAGTTCTCCTGACTGGCTTTTCCCGAAACTGTTTTCTGCCTGTTTGTTAACTTGTTTTCATTTTCAGGGGAATAGATATACTTAGGTTTCCTTTAAAAAATCTTCTTAGAGTATGCTTTGATGATAGTGGAAAATATCCAACATCTAAGCTTCACCAATCAACCAAAGGACCAAAATGTTATTACCTTCAAAATAAAAACATCTGGGAAAAAAAAAACCAGCAATAATTCTACAAAGACCAGGGATTTAAGGAGGCATTTGGGAGTTTTTCAAGTTCCACAGGAAGACAGACCAAAATGCAAGCTATTAGCTAGAGAGAGACACTCATGTTTCCCCTGATTAGGTGCTACACGTAAGTTTTTCATATCCACAAAGCTACTTTCAATAAGTAAGTTCCCTTCAGAATTCATAAACTGTTACAACACGGCCTTTTTAATTTCAAAAATCATTCATAGTATACGGTTTTAGCAAATAACTATAGATACAGCATATATGGATTTCCTAGATTTAGCAACTGCTATCAACTGTTTTTAGAACATTAGATACTAATGATAGGGCCACAAAGGCTAGTTTTAAAGTGGATAACAGGGGGTAATTGTTCTGCAAAAACATCAGCTTTATAGTCTTATTACAGTTAAGTTGTACACCTTTGGGCCAGATGTGCCGCTCACATATGTAATCCCAGCACTCAGCATGCTGAGGTAGGACTGCTGTGAGTTCAAGGCCAGTATGGGTGACACTGGGCCAGCCCAGGATACACACAAAGTGAGACCCTGTCTTAAAAAGGAAGGTTTTACAATTCATAAACAATAAGTTAATATGGAACAATGCTTAAAAACAAAAACCACAACCAACTCCTTAAGAACCATCAAGTTTCTGATAGGCTTCTTGAATGAACGCTGACACGTCCTTCACTGGGGATGAATTATGAAGGACATCCAAGTCCTTCAGAAGAGCATTCTGGTTTGGAATTACTGCCAAAATTTCTTCCTGTGGGTAAGACAGTACAATTAATGATAGCACTTTACGATGAAAAAATGTCATATGTCTGTTATTTGGAGATCTATATAATAATCTTAAGTATCCACCACCCACTTCACTAGTCATCAACTGATGGCCATTCATTTTCAAATAAGTCTTTTCTTCTCCCATCCCTGCTCTGCTGGAGCTCTACAGATAATGAGCATTTATATGACAACATCAATGAGCGCCTCGGCAGAAAGACAAACTACCAGCGTATAGATGAATGTCAAATACTCCAGTGCTAGTGCATAAAGGGCTGTACGTCACTGTTAAAAGTCCAAAGTTAGAGAGGTATGTACCGGTCGTTAGGACTATACAAACATGTAAAAATATATGAAGGAGTGTACTATAAAATTACTCATTTCTATCCGTACTTTACAGCAATGGCATATCTGTGCAATCGACTGTTATATCAATACTGATAAGAATAGTCTACATGAACTGACGGAAAAGGGGTTCAATTAAATGCCAAGTAAGAAAAGGAATTTGTCAAGAAATTTATAACAGGATTAGTTTAAAGACATGGGATATGGTTTTATATGAGTGAGTGTGGTGTGTGTGTGTGTGTGTGTGTGTGTGTGTGTGTGTGTGTGTGTGTGTAATACAGCCTGGCAATAGTATGGTAAAGGTACTTACTTGAAGTGTGGGTGCTTTAAGACTTTTCTGAGAAAGTTCTGGAAGAGACAGTACCTTATTACTATCCAGGTGAAATTCCTAAATAAAACAGAGAGCTAGGGATTATTTCAAAAGGCTGGTTTTGTTCACCTTATAGAACTCAAGTTACCTTGGTAACACTTGGGCATTAAAACTTACAGTTAAACACTAGCAATACGGTTCTGAAGCATTACCTGTTTCACCTTCTGCTCCTCTTCCTCTACCTCATTTGTCAGAGTCTGAATTTTGTTCTTTAGGCTCTGAATACTTTCAGTCATTGACTCTGTGGTCTCTACTATTTTATCTATTTCTTCCTGAAGCAAAAAGACAAGTTAATATTTTAAAGTAAATGTCTTATAAATGAAACACCTGGAGACTGTATACATATAATACCTTATATTTTAAGACACTCTGGACAAAAATGGTAATTTTACTTCTGCTTATCTTTCAAAAAACAGAGCCCCTAGAAAGCTGCTTGGCCACTATAACATGAATTACAAGGAAACTTACTTTTATAGGATAAGGAGGTAACTGCCCATCAACGCTTCTTCAAAACTTAACACAGAAGCTAACAAATACCAGAAGTGCTGGGGGATATCTTTCTGTATGCTGTTAATATATATGAATATATATTCTTCCCATTGGCTAATAAATAAGCTGCTTTGGCCTATGGCAAGGCAGCTTAGAGGCAGGTGGGAAATCCAAGGAAAGAGAAAGGCAGAGCCTAGGGAGACGCCAGCACCGGCAGGAGAAGCAAGATGTGAAAGTATAGGTAAGCCATGGCCACATGGCAACTTATAGATAAAAAGAAATAGGTTGAGTTATAAGAGCTAGCTAGCAAGAAGCCTGCCATAGGCCATCCAATTTGTAAATAATATAAGCCTCTGTGTGTTTACCTGGGTCCGAGCAGCTGCAGGACTGTGGGGCTGGGCAAGATCAGAGAAACCTTCCAGAGGTCCTGGAAAACCCTTGTATGAGTCTTGCAGAGCCCAAGGACTAATGACACCAAGCAACAGCATTTGTTAAGTAGCATATAATTTCAAGTGCCAGAAAAAATGAAAATATTTTTCATTTTAGTTAGGAACATTTGAATGCCTGTTTTAATATGCCAAGAGAATGAAATGCAGGCATTGGGATTAGATATTAATAAAAACACTATATGAGCATTTTCTAAATTAAAAAAATGTTAATTTATAGAGGACAATTATGCAGAATAAATGAAATTAGTTATAGAAATAACAAGAATATGCTGATTGTAGACCAAGTACAGTATAAACCAGTTTCTGGGTTATTAAAGCTGCACTATTTTAAAGTATATCCTAGACCTCATACCACTTCATCTGTAAATATTTCAATGCACAACTATAAAGGACTTAACACTATGTAAGATCTGTCTCACCACATTAGTTAAAATCCTATTAAATTCCATAATGTTGAATATGTTATTAACATTTATTTCCTTGTACACAGAAACTACTTTATACTTTGAGTAAGGCTCCATATTGGTTATGATTGGTTTATTTTTTTCTCTAAGTTTTTTTGTCCAATTCTTTATGTCACTGAAATTCCTAGGTAGAAGGAAATAAGCTGTTTGTTTTTACGAATGCTCCAGGGCTTGAATTCTGTGAACTGCATTCCATAGTGAAGTTAACCTGTTCCATAGCATCATGCTGCTATGAATTGACTGCTGGATTTACAAAGTGTGGATTAAGACAATTATAACACTATATCTATCAGTTTACGATGGCTATTCTAACAGATCAAAAGTGGCATGCAGTGATTTATTCTGTTACAGTTAGGAAGGGCAATAGCCCAAAATAAAGGTGATGGTTTGGCTATGACCCTCTAAATTATCTGGAGGCCTGGGGAGGGGGCATGAGGATTTGGCTTCCCAAGTCCCCTCTCTGCTTTGAAGAGGGTCTTTTTCATCTGTGTATGCTTCCTTGCCCTACTGTGTGTATATTTCTTTGACCCCAATAAGTCTTTCTCCAATGCTGATTTGCTGTGTTAAGAGATTTCTCCACAGCTACTTACTGAGCAAGATTTTCCCTTTCTTTCTTTTTCTTTCTTTCTTTCTTTCTTTCTTTCTTTCTTTCTTTCTTTCTTTCTTTCTTTCTTTCTTTCTTTCTTCTCTCTCTCTCTCTCTCTCTCTCTCTCTCTCTCTCTCATTTATTTATTCATTCATTAATTTTTTTTTTTTTTTCTAGCACATAATTTCTCTGTTTAGCCCTGGCTGTCCTGGAGCTCATTCTGTAGACCAGGCTGGTCTCAAACTCAGAGATCCTCCTGCTTCTGCCTCCTGATGTGCGCTACCACACCCAGCTATTTCCTGTCTTTTAATTTTTACTGGCAGAGAAAACAAACCCTACCAAGACCCCTAGATGGTAAAATTTTTGGGACCTTCACCTCAGAATTTATTCTGAGGATGAGAGAATTATTAAGATGCTACCCCCCTCAAATGTCACAATCCAAAGAGACATGCCATCACCAATGGAGAGCGTAAGTTTTATTGTGGTCACTTAGATCAATCTCCCCTGAGGCCCTCTGACAGTTTCTTCTCCCTCATTACCACCCATTTTGACAGCTCAAAGGAGCTAGAGTGGAAGGCACCCTATCCCCAAACCCCTAACAGTAGTTAGGGTGACCTCTAAAATGAAGAAATGAGGGATTAGGAGTTGGACAGATTTCCTGGTAGGTAGACAGATAGGGAGAGGGGCCTGGCTAGGTAACTAAGGTGGCAAACTCCCAAGATGGCTGGCTTCTTCCTTACTCTCCAAATCTGAGACAAAAGCCTGGCAGCTTAAAACAAAGGCCTTGTGACTCCCTCTACCCCCAGTTGGCTCCTTGTTGATAGACTGGCTATCCTGTCTTTCTTCAAACCGATCAACCACTAAATTAGGGGAGGAAGAGTCTTCAGAGAGTTAACAAACCCCCATCCAGGTGAAGAGACTGGATTTTCAGCTTCCTGAGAGCCCCCTGCTTTGTGGAGGGACTTTCTCTCTGTGTTCTGCTGTGTGCCTGTTTCCCCAATAAACATTCAATTTCTGAAAAAAAGATTCTATGGGCAAGCCGGGCATGGTGGCACATGCTTCCAACCACAACATGTAAAGACTGGGGCAGGAAGATCAGGAGTTTTGAGAATAGCCTTGGAACTATAAAACCTTGTCTCAAAAAACCCAAAATTACAGATTTCTTCCTTGTCTATTTAGGTTTTTGATAGCATTCCTTGTGACTGCACTAGGCCACCTCTTACCCGTGGCTTGATATGGCCTTCTCTTTGTTTCTGTATCTTTTCTTGCTTCTTGTAAAGACATTTGTCTTCGGATCTAAGAACCACCCATGAAATCCAGAAACATCTCATTTTGAAATTTTTTTATTCCATTAATTAATTAATTTTGAGACAGCTGAGTAACAGGCCAGCCAGGACTGCATAGTGAGACCCTGCCCTCCGCCTCCCCCAGTCCACATCACTCACTAAATGAAGAGTTACATACAATAGGAATGAAGATCTTTATGACACTAGGAACGGTAGCATATATCTATATATCTATATCTATCTATCTATCTATAATTAATTCTATCTATCTATCTATCTATCTATCTATCTATCTATCTATCTATAATTAATTCAAGCACTCAGGAGGCAGGGGCAGGAACATTTCAATTTGATGGTCAGCTCAGGGAAATTAGCAAGAATCTGTCACAAAATATAATAAAAAGCCTAGCTGTGTAACTCAACGCAGAGTGTTTCAGGCCCCGGATTCAGCCTCCAGCATCGCAGAAAAAAGGGGAATCACTGTAAGATTGAAAGTTTATCTCATCCCATTGCTTTTATTATCCTCTTGGGCATTCCTGTCATATTTATGCTGCACTGCAACACACTTTCACCCATCTTCTCCTACCCCTTGGATGTGGTACTTCCTGAGTGAACTCCAAGGAAATCACAGACTGTATCTGTGTTTCTCTCGTCACCATCAAGTTTTAACTGGACACTAGAAATACTTTCCCATAAGGCCACACTATCATTTATTGCTTGCTTATGAACACTCTTGTTTAATACAAATAGTGATGCTAATACTCACCATTATTATGGTCTAAAATATTTATAAAAACCCTATATTAGTGTCATGTCACTGTTTATTAAATGGTAGAGGTGGTACCAATACTAAAAGATGTTCAGAGAAGTAACTTCAGGATGGAAATCGTAGTACGAATGTATGAATTAAGTAGGGCCACTACTCCATAAATACATCTCATTAGTTTATAATATACGTGGACTGCACAATATCATTCCTTATACTCAGGGGAAGTGGGAATGAATTAGTTATGAGTTGGAGTTACTAGATGTTCTTCACAACATATTTCTTGCACTAACAATTACTACCCTGAGCTTCCTAAGGGCCTATTCAAACACTAACACAACCACATCTACAAATTACTTCAAAATGTCTGAGGAATATATGGTCCAATTTGTTTTATTTTTTATAGTCAGTTCTTTAACATTGGTTTTCTTACTTGTTCAAATATCAACTAATTAAAAGCTGAACATTGAGTACTATGCTCCGATTATCTGACAGGTTGGCATTTAACTTTAGGCAGTTTGTTTATGTCTCAGTTGGAAAAGCAACATTTTTCTCAGACTATGTGAGGATAAGAGATGGAACTATGGTGTGTTTGGAGAGAAAAATCTCAATATACACGAGCTATAGTAACAACTGAGACAATGACTATAACCTTCCATAACAGTATGGAACTAAGGTTTTGAATTCCATAGTATTCAATGACAAGACTTGGTAATTAAAAATATAGGCCGGGCGGTGGTGGCGCACGCCTTTAATCCCAGCACTCGGGAGGCAGAGCCAGGCGGATCTCTGTGAGTTCGAGGCCAGCCTGGTCTCCAAAGCGAGTTCCAGGAAAGGCGCAAAGCTACACAGAGAAACCCTGTCTCGAAAAACCAAAAAAAAAAAAAAAAAAAAAAATATTGAGACTTCAGCTAAAATAGAGTAACTCAAAGAATGGGGCTGCCCATGACTAGGAATATTTGGCCAACATAAAACAAACTAAATAGTATTTTTTGTAGACTTTTTGGTCTTGTGGTCGTCTGCTTATTTGTTTTGATTTCCATTATTGTGTTTTTGTTTTTTTTTCCCCTTTTTGGGTATGTGTGTGTCTGTGGGTTTTGTTTGTTTTAAGAGAGAGACAGAGAAAGAACATAAAGTTGGATACGTAGGTAGGTGGGGAGGATCTGGGAGAAACTGTAGGAAGCAAAAGACATGATCAATATATACGAAAGGATTTAAAAAAAATATTTACAGGAGTGGGGCTGTTACTTGATCACAGATAAATAAATCATAAACACTTCAATTATAGAGGCCCAAAGTTCAAGTGAAAGCTTTGCTTTCATTACAACAAACAAACAAGAACCAACAAAAAGCCTCAATCCAAAATTTGCATTTATTACTAGACTAATACTGCGATGACTTAATTGATCCCAGTCCCCTTCTGCCAGCTTTCTAATTACTGAGGCCTTTTTGGATGTCATACCTGCAGTAAAGCCAGGTCCTCTTCATGAGCTTTTTCCCGTGCCCTTTCCATTTTCAGCAGATTTGACACATCGGTTAAATAGTTCAGCTTTCTAGGAGGGACTTTCAGTGTTCTACACTGTTGCAGTAATCTTAAAAATAGAATTACACATGCTTATTTTGGGGAACATTACTATTTTCTTTTTAGTTTTGAAACAGTTTCATTTTTCCCCCTACTCTCACACTTGTAAGGGCTACAACATTCTCTTTCTTTTTCACAATAGCTAACTGCATTCTTCCCCAAAACAGCTCTGCCTGACAAATCATCACCTAACTTTTCAATACATTAACAATTATCGCAAATCACAGAATGCTAAGGCTACTTTACTACAACATTTTTCAGTTCACACATTTAGAAATATATTTTAAAATCAGAATTTCCTACTACTGTTTAAATATGCTTTCTATACTACTATAGCATGTGAGCCTGCCAGTTTAGTTTGGATTGTTGAACAAGAGAAAGAACTCTAGTTTTAAATCTGATGCCAAACCTCACTTCTAACTTTTAAAGAATGTAACCAATACAGGTTAATCTAAATGTTTTTAAAGATGACTGAGTTTTATAGTTTAAGGCAGATAAGATGATGATCACTACATGCTTTGTTGTCAAACACTATGACATGAATTCTATTCTATCTAATTAAAGTCTTTACTGATCTGTGTGACTCCTACTTCCCCAGCAGACAGTAAAATAATGTTCTCAGACTTGATTCTTCAGTTTCATGAGAAAGAAATCAAGGAGAATAAACTCATTGTAGTTGCTTCTGCCACAGTAACAGTGTGGGTTTTCTAAAAATTCTACTGTAAGTTGAACACCCTCCCAAAGCTAAAACCCAAAATGTTCCAAAATCTGAACCATTTTTAGTTCCAAACTGATGCCACTAGTGGAAAATTCACCATCATAAAACACTGACTCATGCAAAAAAGTATAAAAAATATTATTATAAGGGCTGTTAAAATGGCTCAGCAGGTAAAGGCCCTTAGCAAGTATGCCTGAAGACCCAAGTTCAGTTCCTGGAACACAAGGAAGACCACGTAGAAAGACAGAACCAAGGACTCAAAGTTGTGTTTGACCTCCGATAGCAGGCCACAGCATATGCTCTCTCTTGCACATGCACACACAATCAAAATAAAGTTTTAAGGAAATACTGCAAAAATTAATTAAAGCAAAATGACAGGATAAATAAATGAATTTGTGTTTGGATTTGGGCCCTATCCTTAAGACTCCTTGCTGTTTATATGTAAATATCTCCAAATCTAAAAGTAACCCCAAACCTGAAACACTGCTGGTGGAAAGTATTTCAGAGAACGGATACCTGCACTTAAGATTTGAAAGCAGCTACATAGGAGTGGAACCCACATTTATCTTTTAGAGACATGCTCAATATTTTAGTCTTCTTAAAGAAAAATGTTGGTGGCATAAACCCTGCAGTTAATCAGTCTCACCAAACTGTTAAGACAGTCTTCAGTTTGCCATGAAGTCATCACCAGATTACAATAAACACAGCCTTTTTATAAGATCTAAGCAGCATTCATTTTAGTTTTGAGTTAACATAAAGACTATGATTTTCCTATGTTTATTAAATCAATTATGTGTAAGGTTCAATTTACTGTTCCAAATGTTCGAAGTCATGGTTAGATTTTGAAGAATCTCAAAAACTTATTAAACTTTATAAAAGTACACCCTGAAGATAGTACATCAACACCACAATCACTTTTTCTCACTGGCTTCTAAGGGCAGTTTGCTTTAGAAGCTATAAGCTGATGGTTTTGTCTGACTAGAAGCACTTTCCGCTCATGGGGGTAGGCAATTGTGACTTAGTTTATATCAATTATGCTATAAAATCAGTCCAAACACAGGAACATTTTCTCAGCGAGGTCAGTCAGAGACCATCTCCAGATTTTTTGAACTGGCACTAAGGAGTAAGAGATCCCCCCACCCCTTTTTTCTTTACAAGGCTGAAGAGATAGATATATATAGGTTTGATATATTGTGAACATCTGAAAACTTTGTAAATGAGTTCCTGCCATAAGTATCAGTTTGGGAGGTATTAGGTTAAAGAAAGTCAAACACACTGATTTTATCCATTGTATATGGTAATGTACCCAAACATAATCCATCACTGATCACTTTCAGTCATGAAGTATCTTTTGGAATATTAGAGAAATGCTGTTAAATTTATTCAAAATTCCAAGTTAAGATTTGGTGCTATACTCTGATGTATCAGAAGAAGTAAGATTAACTTGTGTATGACTATTTTGCTAACTACATGTAAGGAGGTGTATATATGTGTAGGAACCAGAGGTTAAACCCAGGTGTTGTTGCTCAGGTACCATCTACTTCATCTACTTTGTTTTTCTGAGGCATAATATCTCATTGGCTTGGGGCTTGCTGATTAGGCTAGGCTGGCAGGCCCGGGAGCACCAAAGAACTTCCTGTTTCTGTCTCCTCAGTACTGGGATCACAAACTTGAAATTTCTATGTGACTTTTGGGAACTGAACTCAGGTCTTCATGCATGTACAGCTAGCAATTTACCATTTGATTTATCTCTACTCATCACTCAAGTTATGAGTTTTAAACCTACATTCTGCATATAAGAAAACAGGCATTTATTTGTCTATATATGTGTAAATGATGAAATTAGAAAATAGATCATGAGAAGTGAAGAAGACATGGCAGGGAGTATAATGACATAAACATGATAAGAACAACAAAAGGGGTGGTGGGAAGCGGGGAAGGGAACCAGCTAGATAGTTAAAGAGGTTACAGAGGAAAGCAATGAGTGAAAATTAAAGTATAATAACACAAGTATAGGAAAATGTCATTGCTTTGGTAAACCTGAAAATTAATAACTAAAAAGTTATAAAGGTAAAATAGGGAGGAAATAGGCAAGCCTTGAATTAGTTCTACGTGAAGAGAACACCTATCTGCTGAACTTATCTTTTTGCTAACAAAGGATGATCACTATGTACCCTATTATCTTTCCTACATTGTATCTGACTATTTGTCCTATATTGCAACAGACTAGCTGTAATTGCATTAGCCTATGGTTTTCTCTTCTGGAGATACTCATGGCCCTTCACTATTAGACTATCACTCTAGTAACTGGTCTGCGAGCTGAAGTCCAGAAGTTCTTTAATCTGCCGACTTCGCTCAACAAACTCCCCCACCTGTCCCACCCCAAGTCTTGCCATTCTTTCTATAGCTTAAGAATCATTCTTGAAGAAAAAGGAAAGAGAATTATGCTCAGAGGACCCATCACATGAAAAGAACCAGACCACAAACATTTCTTTCAAACCTGAAGCTGAAATGTAAAACCTTTATGTACGACAAGAAAAAGTTCTGTACTAAGAGTAAAGTGTTTACCCAAAACTACCAGTGTCGCTGTGGCTTTAAAGAACATTTAAAAAGCAAACTCCATTAGTGATGTACCACAAGATTAAGAGCAATTTCTGGGAAAATTATACTTGTTGCTCGTATAATTGAGCAATACAGTATGAGGTTGCTAGGATTAGTTTTTGTCAACTTGACACAAGTCTTTTTATAAGAGGGAACTTCAATTGAGAAAATACTGCTGCCAGGTTGGCCTGGGGTGCATTTTCTTGATTGACAATTGATATAGGAGGGTCCAGCTCACTGTGGGTAGCACCACCCCTGGGCTGGTGGTTTTGGGTGCTGTAAGAAAGCAGACTGAGCAAGCCATCAGCAAGCAATGTCCCTCCATGACTTCTGCTCTAGTTTCTGCCTCCAGGTTTCTGTCATGGCTTCTCTCAGTGATCAAAATAAACCCTTTCCTTTCCAACCTGCTTTTAGTCCTGGTGTCTTATCAAAGCAAAAGAAAAGCTAATTAAGACAGAGGTGAAGGAAACTAATAGGATATGACAATAAACAACAGCAATGGAAAACAAGACAAAATTAAGAGTTGTGAACTATTATTCTAAGTTATTAAAATTAAAGTATAAAGGAGTTCCAGTCATCATGTATTTTCAAATACTGACACAAAACACAGAACATTGAAACATGACAATAAAAGTTACATTATGACCATATTCTTTTGTATATATTCTCTGAAACTTAGGAAGTATGTATTTTCAAACTTCATTTCATTTAGAAAGTATAGTCCACTGACTGAAGTCATTTAAGAACACAGGAACAAGTCACAGTTTAAAAATAATTATAATTTAATCATGTCCAATTGTGTATTACCTTTTCTTCAAGTAGTTGAGATGATACTGAATTTGTTCTTTTCCTTTAATGTTTTTGGTTAAAATTTCTCTGAGGGGAAAAAAAGAGACTGACTAAGTGTTACTGTGAAACATAATACAATCTGTCTTTCAAAAATGTTTCAAGTGTTCAACCTCACTAGCTAGGCAGAACCACTCACCTTCTCTTTTATACTAGATACATATTTTAATAATATAACTTACCTTTAACTGAAATTCATGATACTAAGATTTTTAGTATTATATATCTATGTTTGTATTATTACTGGTGTATATTAATACAAAGTAGTGGGTTTTATTTTGACATCTTCATACACACAGACACACACATGTGTGCAGTGATTTGATAGCATTTTTCTTCTATTACACACAAAACACTTTAAGCAGAACAGTGACATTTTCTTTGAATCATATTGTATTATAATTTATACACCCAACTTTTCTGATGCAGTTAAATTCTACTGTGGAGGACTTTTCTTTTAGTTTCTTTGTATTTCATGTAACATAGTATTTTCATAGAAAGTGTTATTTTTGTGAATACAACTTACAAAGAATCAATATTGACAGAGCAATTTAAAAATTTTATAGACTGCAAATCAATCCATACAGACTTGATTCTTACTTGACTGGTAGGTTCCAAGTTTCTACAATTAAGAAAACCTTTTTTTGTTAAAGGCTAATGCTGTCACGGTTTAAATTTGATATGCCTGCCATTGGCATATGTGATGAATGTTCTTTAGTTGTAGAAACTTTAGTTAAGTAGAGACTGGCTGGAGGATGTGCAGGACATTGGGGTGTGTTTTTAAGTGACACCTGGTTCCTGGTCCCTGTCTTGTGCTCTGCTTCCTCCAAGTCATGCTTCCACTTCCAGGATGTTCTGCCTCCCAAGTGCTCAGAATCAATGGATCCAAGGACTATGGACACGTCTTCTGAAACTCTGGGCCTAGACAATCTTTCTGCTGTTTAAGATACTTATGTTAAGCATCCTGTCACCGCCATGGAAAAATTAACTAAAATATGTAGTAATATTCAGAAAAATGTGAACAGTAAATACCAAAGTAGGAGGAAAGAGTTGCAAAGGAAATTTGAAACTCACAGAATTACTGATTCCATCATACTTTGCAAATATTCTTCAGTATTTTTTGGAAGAGGCTGCCAGGTTTTTCTCTTGTTGGACGCTACTTTTATCCGCTTTAGGTTAATAGACTTTGCTTGTCCTGTTGCTGGTAATACAAGAGAGTCTAATCAATATAGAAGTTTGCAGTTTTACTTAAAAATGATTTTAATCTAAAGAACATTAATGGCATTATGAGACTAAAACAACCTACTCTTTAATTCACATCTTATTGCGACTGTAACACCTCAGTTACTGAAAGTGAATTTGCCCATTGTGATGATAGCTGATATATTATCAAGAGACACTAAAATACAAATACTTTTAAATAAAGAAAGTTATCACTACTAAATTTTGCTTCTGAAAAATGACTTGAATTTTAAAAATTTCAATAAAAATACTGGAAAACTATTTCTATCAAACATTAGAAGCGACAGAACAAGCTACAGAGAGATACTGACTGACATCCCTTTATATCAGAGATGAGTAATTCAGAGTGGGGAACAAAGATTTACTTTCTAGTTCATATCAGTGTGGCAGATAAGCCTCACTGTGTTTGCTAGTGTTTGCTAGAAAAATTAAATAATGCACTGTTCTACTCACAAGGCATAAGCCACAAGATACAGTACTGGTTTCACAAAGATCAGGTAAGGAAAAAGGGGATATTATTATGCAAATTAGAGGAGTGCAGAAATTACAAAAGAAAAAAAACATGATAGCCCAGGAAATATAAAATCAGAACACATCTACATTGAGAGTTAAGGAATCTTCTTATAAAGAAACGATGTTTAAGAAAACGTGAGTACTTCAGACTCATTGACTCTGAAAAGCTTAAGCTAGAGATTATAAATGATCTGTATAGTACTGGCAGAGCTGAAAGGACAGATGTCTTGAAGAAGTAGGACTGTCTATTTCTCAGAGATGAGTAATTCAGAGTGGGGGACAATGATTTGTTTTCTAGTTTCTATCAATGTGGCAGATACACCTCTATATATTCACAAGAAGAATTAAATACTGTGAATGTGGCGGCTTATGACCACCTTTTCCTATCGATGAACTCATAACCAAGACGCTGAAAAATTTTTCATGAAAATCGGTAGGAGACACTTTAAACAAGACATACAAGAAGAGCAATACCTTTAGAGGACAGATGCCCTGCATGACTTTTGTTTCTTTTCGCTGTGTTTCCAACCTAGAGATACACAAACAATTAAATATCAGATAAAAAGATGGTTCTTCAACCCATTTCCATGTATACTAACGAGTAGCACTGTTACTGCTGTTTCTACAGATAAAGTATGTATTATGAACAAAAAACGCACTAAAGCATGGTGATATGAATTACAATTCGTAGTAAAACTGACTTTTAGTCTTTTTAAGGGAATAGCTTTTTCTAATCAAAGTGATCTAAATGGTATTTGACATTTTATTACCTCATTCTCTGGAAAATCCACTTCTTCAACAGCTCTTTGTTTTGAATTTCTCTTTAACTGTTGAGATTTCCTCTTAGAAGCATTTGCTTTACCAGGCATTTTGATCTAAACAATACAATTGCAATGACACATAGTCTGCAGAGGTAAAAAAAAAACAAAAACAGAAAAATGATAAAGATTTGTACCATGCTTTGTTGAAAACATTACATGCACTTTTTCTAAACTATGTCTTCAGAATTTGGGAAAAACATCTTAGGTTGTTAAAACATTTAAACTTGTTAAAAAAAAAATCACTTTGGTGCTGTAGATCCAGCTCAGGAGGTTGAACACCGATCTAAAATGTTTCCCAAGCACTGTATAAATCTAGCTTGGTGTGCATGTCTATAAATTAAGCACTCAGGAGTAGCATCAGGAAGACTGTAAGTTTACAGTTATCTTCACTTACAGAGTTGAGTTTGAGGCAGGTCTTTAACAAGATAAATGAAACCCTGTCTCAAAAACAAGTGAACAAAGACCTTTGGTTCTCATTAGTAAAATGGTATCAATTTAATTTCATTCCTTAAAATGGCTACAATTTTCATGGTTTCAGAAAAAATTTTTAAAGATGCTTTTGAATTTATATATTCCCATATGCAAAATATCTCCATTTTTAAATTCAAGAAAACAACAACAACGACAGACACGGGCAAAGTCAGTTCAGAGAACTGTACTGGATTTTAAGTAATAGGTTCACCACAACTCAGTTTACGGCAAAGGTGAGGGCCTGTACGCGAATTCCACACTAGGAACAGCAATGTGAAAATCTGCCACTCATAAGGCGGTAAGCTTTATGCCACTCATAAGGCGGTTAGCTGGACCTCCTTCAGGACTGTGTGAATTGTAATAAGGGTACAGAAAGAACTGACTACTCAGTTCGTTCATGAATTACAAACCAGACAAGGGAATGGCGACGGAGGTTATCAATGACAACACTTAGAGTAACTTATTTTCTCTAGCAGACCTTTAAAATCAAACTTATTTCTGCTAAAAAGAAAAGAGGCATGGGCTATGTATTCCTGCATTTTATACTGAGTGGATAGGTTATAAGTTAGGCACAGTATAAAAAAGTATATATATATATATATATATATATATATATATATATATACACACACATACATATATATGTGATTTTTTTCATCTTTATTTTTTTTTACTCCCGAGACAGGGTGACAGGGTTTCTCTGTGTAGCCCTGGCTGTCCTGGAACTCACTCTGTAGACCAGGCTGGCTTTGAACTCAGAGACTTGCCTGTCTCTGCCTCCCAAGTGCTAGGATTAAAGGTGTGTGCCGCTGCCTCCCAGCCATACATGTGTTTTAATTCTTAGCATATATCTACTAAGTTTGTTACCACTCTCTTTCTGAACTCTAAGTATGTCTGTGAACCACAAGCGTGCTTGGTTGTCATGAAGAGTGGAGGAGAACACCGAGGCCTCTGGACTAGAGTTAGAGATGGCTGTAAGCCAGCATGCGTGTGCTGAGAGTTGAGCCTGGGCCCTTTGAAGAGCAGCCAGTGCTGAGTCCCTGAATATTTTTTTTTTTGTAAACTAAAGTCTCCTCTCACCTGCTTAAATGAAGACAGAAAGAATACATGGAAAAAAAAAATAGTTGAAAGATCACACACCACACTTAGGAATCATATATCAAATTGGGCACAAAAATTAGAACCCCTACGCCCCCAAAACACTTTATCTGTTATTGAGTAGTGTGGTACATTAGTCTATGCCCAGACTTATTCCCTTGTTTCAGTTCTAAAATACCGAATTCCCTCAGCTCAACTTCTACTAAAACACCAACCCACATTGAGTAAGCTTTCCTTGTGGACCTTGTCTAGAACTGACATTAAAACAGTTCATGGGCACTAAATAAGAGCATCTACAGGAGAGGGAACGTGGGGACTGAGATCTTTAGATTAAAATGCTATGAATTCCTTCTCACTATTGTTAAAGGGAGGTAGGGTCAATGCCACTCCATGTTCTATCATAGCAGAACCTGCAGCTGTCTGAGCAATACAATATGGTGGATGTGATTCTGTTGAGGTGTACTGCCTAAGCAGGAAGAGATTGGTAGCTTCAGTTTTCTTGTGCTCGGAAACACCTGCTCTTGGAACCCAGTCACCAAGCGATGGGAAGAGGAATTGAAACCTGTGGCAAAAGCCTTATCTGCGATTGCAGAAACACCTTAATGCCAGGTGCATGTGCCTGAGCCAATATATCTTTAATTATATAAAAATATACAAGCCAGGCCTACTAATTGGTACAAGAGCTACAATACTAAACTTTGGAACAAAATACATGATTAAATATTCACTTACTATGTTTAACACCTACACTCTTTACCTTGCCATTTACAGTCGCTAAGAATCTAACCCTACTCATCTGCTAATCCTTCTTTCCTGTTACTATTACATTGAATTTCCCTCTGTGGCTAGATCTGCTTTCTTAACACACTGACTATTTCTGTCTCTCACGCACATATTGTACATATGCTCCACCTGAATTGTTTTCTAGTCTATCTCTGCTCACTCAGATTATGAGCCATAATCTTTCCAACTCCTTTCTAATCACGCCTCTTCATGTCTCTACACATATCTATGGGCTCTTATAATTCCCATCATCCAACACAGGTGGGTTCTGTCAATCGTTTTCTCCAGATATATACTCAATAATATTTAACTCAAGGCTACTCTAGATGTGATTTACAAACTGTGTTGTACAATTATATTAAATGCAGAAATTGAGAATAAAGTTTCTATAGAAATTTAACAGAACTTCATGTATGTCAAATTCACTCACAAAGTAATTGGCCATGTCTTTTGAATTGCATTTTTTTAATAGCTAATACTTAAAAATAGATTAGCTTTTCAGATCAGTTTCAGATTCCAATAATTGTCAAGAAAGTATAAGGTATTTTCATATGCTACCTAACGATTCCTTCTCATTGTCACCTCACCAATCATTAACAACATCCCACATCAACATGGTACAACAGCTACCAGCGAATGTACCTACACTGACACACTCTATTACCCCCATTCATAGTTTACCCTAGGGTCCATTGCTGGTGTTGAATACACTGTCTATGAAGTTGACTACTAATTTATTTTAAATTGTAGTCAACAAAATCATCAGTATTGACTGACTAGAAATACAAAAGCAAGACCAAACAAAATTGGTCTTTGCCAATGGTGTTATATCATGGTCTCAAGCTGAGGTAACAGACTGGAGTGGAAAAGCTTGTCAGCCTCAGCCTCATTAACACTGGGATGTTTTTGTTGTGAAAGGCTGGCTTGTGCACTCTAAGATGGTTAGCAGCATTCTCATCTCTCTTCAGACACTAGAATGGCCCCACTCCCAAGCAGTGACCACCAAAATTGTGTCTGATCACTGTCAAATATCCCTCTAGTCAAAAACGCCCCACGGTGGACAGCCAATGGCATGACGGGTAAGAACAAATTATAAACGGGAGACAAATAGTCCAGGTTCTAAATCCCAATTAACTAAAAACGTCCTAGCCCCAAATCCAGTAAATTAACTAAAGTTTCCCACTGATAAAACAGTGCCAATATCAGGTACCTGTAATGCTGAAAGGGCAGCACAAAGTACACCAAACTCCTAGATAAGTCCATGAGACAGACACTGTAAGAATCTAAACAAGGGTCATGATTTCTGTCCCCGTTGGGACAATTTCAGTGTGTGTGTGTGTGTGTGTGTGTGTGTGTGTGTGTGTGTGTGTATTCCTCACTGTTCCCAGATCCATAGGGAATCATAGCTTAACAGTGGGTTGGCAGACACAGATATGAAAACAATTACTATGTATGAAATATACTAAATGCAATCAAATTGACCTGTAAGCAGGCGTGGGAATATTCTAGGAGGAAGAGAAATGAAGCACTTAAGTGAAACCAGCTAAGTCTGACGGCATGACAGCTCAGAGGAGAATGCTGTGCTTGATGAACCACTCGGTTCAGACTTGAAATGCTTATGGGAGGAGTGGAAAACGGCAGCCAGGCACCCTACTTTTTTGTTGGTGTCCTTTGCCGGTTTGCTGAAACTACTTTAAAGCTCCTTATCTCAATTCAGACCTTTATCTGCGAGCCACAAACGAGAACGAACTTTGGCGAGACAGCCGGGCGCTCCCGGACGGGGTCCGGAGCTTCAGAAACGAGGACCGGGAGGGTCTTGGGAAATAGGGACGGAGGCGAGTGTTTTCACTCCTCTCCGGAGAATCTCAAGCCGCTGCCCTAGGTGGCAGAGATCTATTTGGATATTAGACATTGCCCTTAAAAAAACACAAAAAACAAACGACGGAGTTTACCACAAGCGCGTGAGGTTCAAAATTCATCCCTTTCTGGATCCGTCAGCCGCTTCACCTCTTTCTCCACTCATCGCCGTTTATTCCCGGCCTCAGAAAGCGCGGCTCAGTCTTTTCGCGCCCAAACAACCGGAAAAGGAACAAAAATACCCCGCAAACCAAAACAAACACCACGACCCGGGAACCGGAAGCGCCCGTGAAGCCGTAGGAGGCCGGTCCGCCCGTCACGTTCTTATACGTCACAGAAACGCGTCCGCGACGGCGGGATCGGATTGGCTGGTCGGGAGGGTGGTGTCGGCCACGCCCCCCTGATTGGACGGGCTCGCCAGCTCCCGCTGCCAGCGCCTGTGAGCCGCGGGGATCGGGGTTCGGCGGTGGGATCGGGGCTCGGCCGGGTCGCCTCCCACTTTGTGGCCTGTGAGTAGGCCTGTACGCTGTGGAGCACGTCAGGCTTGCGAGTCTCTCCCCTTGCTGTGTTCATCTTTCTGCCTCCTGTCTCTGTCCTCCGGGGCTTTCCTTCCATCTTTGACGTCCTACTGTGACAGGGAGCCCTCCCTGCTTTCCCCTGAAGTTCAGATGATCACTTCGACCGACTTCTCATTTTCGGTTAGGGCCGTGGCATTCGGAGGCCACCGCTGCAAAGTGCTTCTCAGCAGCGCGGCAGCGTTATCCCTCTCCTCCCTGGCTTCCCACGCACGCGCAAGGTCACTTGTAGTTAAGAGGTGCTCTGGGTCCACGCTGACCTGAGGCTCGGGTTGTTTGTAGGTTGTTTCTGCTAGACGTGGTGGGACAAAAAGCAAGAGATCGGAGGAAGAGATGAAAAAGAAAAGGCACGTCTAATTTGATACAAAAATAAACATTTCTAGCTTCTCAGTTTTGCCTTTCAGAGCGCGACACATGCGTGTGATTTTTAAATACTTGGTGATTTTCTTCCAACATAGTTTTGTGTTTAATGATTTGCTTGAGGTTAGTGGTTCTCAACCTTCCTGATACTGCTGCCCTTTAGTGCAGTTGCTCATGTTGTGACCCACTGCCCCCTTCCCCCAACCATAAATTGTTGCTCCTTCATAACTGTAATTTGCTACTTTTATAAATCGTAATGTGAATGTTTTTGGAGATAGAGGTTTGCCAGAGGGGTTGCGACGCACAGATCGAGAACTTCTGCCTTAGGCTGATAGTTCCTTAGGCTGATAGTTCCCTTATGCTAATAACTTTCGTGCTCTGTGGATCCACCACCTAAGCCAATCGGACAGTGGGCGTGGCTAGCTTTTGTGACGTGTTAATGTAGAGCTACATGTAGACTGTTACACTTGCACTTGAAAGTTATTTTTGTTTCTAAGTTACTTTTTTTTTTTTAATTTGGTTTTTGGAGTCACGGTTTTTCCATGTAGTCCGGGCTATCCTGGAACTCTACGTTGTAGACCAGACTGGCCTTGAATTTAGAGATCCGCCTTCGTGAGAGCGCTGGATTTAAAGGTTCCCTGGCTTTTTCAAAATTACTTTTATCTGGGGACTATACATTCATACATACATAAGTAAATATTTGGAGTTGTAAGGATGACTTTTGCTTTATTTCACTTTAACACATTTTAATCGTCGTTAACACATTTGCATAATGCTTCTTTGAATTCTTGAAATCTTTTTTTTTTTTTTTGGTTTTTCAAGACAGGGTTTCTCTGTGTAGCTTTGCGCCTTTCCTGGAACTCACTTGGTAGCCCAGGCTGGCCTCGAACTCACAGAAATCTTTTTTTTTTTTTTTTTTGGTTTTTCGAGACAGGGTTTCTCTGTGTAGCTTTGCGCCTTTCCTGGGACTCACTTGGTAGCCCAGGCTGGCCTCGAACTCACAGAGATCCGCCGGCCTCTGCCTCCCGAGTGCTGGGATTAAAGGCGTGCGCCACCACCGCCCGGCCAGAAATCTTTTTTTAATGACTCTTCAAAGAAAGTTTAGAAGTCCTATTGTCAATAACAACAGTACTGTTAAATGTGTGTGTATGTATGCATGTATGCATGCGTGTATATATGTATTTATTTATTAGAGACAGGGTTTCACTATGTAGCTCTGACTGGCCTGGAACTCCCTTGGTAGACCGGGCTGACCTTGAATTCACTGAGATCCACCTGCCTCTTTCTTCCGAGTGCTTGGATTAAAGGCAGACTATGCCTGTCTAGTATGGTTATTTTGAAGTGCTGTTTTAACTTTTACTAATTCGGCCTTTGGCTTTTCGGGAAGTCCTTGTTCGATTGGGACCCTGTTTTATCATTTGTCCAGTTCAAACTTGGTTTGAAATGGGTGTGCTTCCTGTCTCCACTGTAGTCCAGACATTTGTCAAGTCCCTTTCAGTGTTCCACATCACTGCAGAAGTAGTGCAGATGTGAGCTCGACATTCTCACCACTCACCATTTTGGCTCTCAGAAATCCGAGTGGCTTGAAATAAAAGTGGATGACAAAGCTCTCTTGGATTTAATAGGTTAAAAATTACAAAGGCTTTAAAAAGTTGGTATTGCATTTGTTGTATTTATGTTTATATTGTGTTCTGCTAACTTAAAAAAAATTCAGATGAGTGTATTGCATTTACAGGGATATATCTTGATTCTTTCACCCAATACTTATTCGAGCCTGTTTACTCTAATAGCAAGTATACTCAACATAATTTTAACTTTTAAATTGATGTCAAAATACTTAGGGAAAGCACACACAATGGTAGTTGGATAGAGTACTAATCTCCATAAACATAATACATTAATATCATTTATGTCCAGATCATAACAGTCATCCTAAAGGCTTTCTTTTTTTTCCTGTACTGTCATAAATGAATACTTCTGCAAATTCTGATGTGAACTATTACGTTTTCCTATTTTCTAAATTTATTTTAATAGTTTCATTAAATTCTATCATTTGTGTTGTAATGAATGCACTTACTCTAATTTTAGATGTTTGTAATGTTTCTGTTTCTCTAGTGTAAATAAAACAGCAGAGAATGTCTGTTTTTATCTTTCATTAAAGAAGTTATCCCAGGATGGATGTTATTCACTTTAAGGGGGTTACATTTTTGAGACCTTTTATGTATTAGAAATTTACATTGTAAAGTAGTTAAAACACTTAATGTTTCTATCAGTGATTTTATGTTTCTTGTTTTGTGATCCATAATATCCAGTTGGCAGTCTTCAATGTTTTACTAACTTGGTAGGTCAGAAGTTAATATCAAAAATAGAATTTCTAAAAAATATTTTTAGATTTACTTTTACTGTTTTTTGTGTATGAGTGTTTTGCCTGCATGTCCATCTGTGAACCCGTTCATGTTTGGTGCTCAAGGAGGTGGTGAGCCTCCATGTGCATGCTGGGAATCGAACCCAGGAATCCTTTGCAACAGCAAGAAATGTTCTGAACTGCTGAGCCAGTTCTCCAGCCTGAAGAATAGAGTTTTAAATTCACTTTGCCCAGTTAGTGTAAAGCACTTGGTGAGACAACTATAATAGTGAAATTTGTGTATGACTTTCTTCTGAAAACTGTGGGCTCTATATGTAGAGGCCGTGTAAACACTTAAGTGTCGAGTAATTGAGGTGGTTTGCTGCTTTTCTGTGTAGGTAAATATTTGGCATATGCAGTGAACTATGAGTTTTCTAGTATTTCCAGAAATACTAGGAATAAATTTCTAGTATTTCTGAAATAAATTTGATAGATCCATGGTCATGGATGCCTTGGGTGCCTTGCTAGTCTTATTTACTGCATTTTTCTCTACACACCAATGTAGTATCTACCATAAACTAAAAGATTTGTAAGTGGGCTTGGAGTGAAAATTAATTGAAATACTATGTTACATCTACCCCATGATGTAACCTTTGAAAAATTCTGTGGGAGTATGGTATAGTCAGATTTGCACTTTATCAGTGTCAGATGTGTTGGAGGGGGCCAAGACTGGTCTGTAAGACCAGCTAAGAGGCTGTGGAGGAAGAAGACAGTATCTAGAGCAATAGTCATTATGAAGAACAAGGGTAAGTGTAATATATTATCAGGTGCAGAAGCAGAAAAGGGAAGAAAAAGGAAACAGGACCAGTATTCTATCTTTTCTTTCTCCCGACTCACTGAAAGCCCTGGATTTCCTTCACAACTCTAACTACGTATATTGTTTTTCTAAAATTTTCTAGGTCAGTTCTCACTTCCGTTTGAGAGTATCCATGCTTCACCATGTTGAGAGCTAAGAGTCAGCTTTTTTTGTTATCACCCCATCACCTGAAGCAATTAAAAGATACATCAGTCTCCAGATGGAATCGGCTCCTACACCAGCAGCAGCCCATCCACCCAGAATGGGCTGTATTGGCCAAAAAGCAACTGAAAGGCAAAAACCCAGAGGACCTAATATGGCACACGCCAGAAGGGATCGCTATAAAGCCCTTATATTCCAGGGCAGATACTAGGGACTTACCTGAAGAATTTCCAGGAATGAAGCCCTTCACTCGTGGGCCATATCCCACCATGTATACCTTTAGACCCTGGACCATCCGTCAGTATGCAGGCTTTAGTACTGTGGAAGAAAGCAATAAATTCTATAAGGACAATATTAAGGGTAAGATTTCAATGGGAGGCATGATGCTTGTGATGACACAGGAGACATTAATTCATTCTGGAAACATGCCATTCATTTTGTGCTTGAATTTACTGTGAAACAAATGGATACTTTTCAACTTCTGTGGTCAAAAAGATAAGAGGCAACAGTAAAAAGTGTAAATTTCTTGGAGATAAACCATACTTTTAGCTACATTGTAGAAAAGAAATGAGATGAAGATGCACGAAGGAAAGAGATGGAGTTTATCTTTGGGAAGCTTTTAGTTTTATGGAGCTAAGAATTGGAGGGAAAGCTTAAATGTAAGTGATGCCAAGCTCCATAGTAGGAAATGAGGTGCTAACTATATACAGTGAAATCTGTCCTTCATTAGAAAAGTCTACAGTTTCCCTTCTAATGTATGATAAAATCTTAACTGCATGCTAAACTTTAGAATTTCTAGGTTTATGTTGCTTAGGGAAGGATTGGATTTATATTTAATGTAGTTTAGTTATTTGGAAATTTTGTAGAGGGACTGCATATTTAGCTGAGTGGTAGTGTGCTTGCCTAGTGAGCTGAAGGCCAACTTGGATTTCATTCCTAGTTTTATTAACATTTTTTGGGGGTGGTGCGAATAAAATCTAAAATTCTAGTTCAGCAATATTTTGAATGGCTATGGCATTATGCTATGACAATGGTAAAGAATAAACAAAGTAAGAAAGCATATATATACTAAGTTGTGTTAAGTATATCTGATCAGCTAGACGTTTTGTGAATTTTGAAAACATCTCAATAAAAACAACTACAAAAATTATTTGATGTATGAGATTGAGAAAAATATCCTTGTGCGGGTGAGAGATAAGCGATATGCTGTTGTTTCTATTATTTCTCATCTACCTAGAAGCTCAGTTTGTGTGTCTTAGCCTATTTAGAAACACCTGACTCTTAGGAAGCCAAGTATTTGTTTCATATGGGCACGGGAGTGAGGTAATCTGCTTCCAGTTACTTCATTATGAGACTCTAACATAACCGTTTTTTGTTTTTGTTTTTTCTTATGTACTTAGCTGGTCAACAGGGATTGTCCGTTGCTTTTGACCTGGCAACACATCGTGGTTATGATTCAGACAACCCTCGAGTTCGCGGAGATGTTGGAATGGCCGGAGTTGCAATCGACACTGTAGAAGACACCAAAATCCTTTTTGATGGCATTCCTTTAGAAAGAATGTCCGTTTCCATGACCATGAACGGAGCAGTTATCCCAGTCCTAGCAATGTTTATAGTAACTGGGGAAGAGCAAAGCGTGCCAAAAGAGAAGCTCACAGGCACAATTCAGAATGACATCCTAAAGGAGTTTATGGTCAGAAATACTTACATTTTCCCCCCAGAACCGTCCATGAAAATTATTGCTGACATTTTCCAATACACAGCAGAGGTATGCTTTCTTTCTGCAGAGTTTGCTGTAGTCATTATAGGGATTTCCACAAAGTGTTTTTGTCTTCATGTAGTAATTTTTTTTTTTTTTTTTTTTGAGTTTCTCTGTGTAGCTTTGTGCCTTTCCTGGAACTCACTCTGTAACCCAGGCTGGTCTCGAACTCACAGAGATCCACCTGGCTCTGCCTCCCGAGTGCTGGGATTAAAGGTGTGCACTATCACCGCCCGGCTTCATGTAGTAATTTTATGATTGTAACCTAGGCAGTATTCATTCCACTTTTCCACTTCCTGTTCTGTCCTTGATACTCAGTTGGCTGATAATTGTTAGAGTCACTTCAGAGTTCAGATGGAGTCAAGATGGGGTTTTATTTCTACTACAAACGGAGTTGGAACAGACTGCATATATGTCTGCCATCTCCATGATCTCTCTGTTCATCCCTGAGTTAGGCACACCTTCCCCAGCCTGTGGAGCGGGAGAAGAAGGCTCCCTGGGCACTGCTACTGAAGCAGCGCTGCCTCCACATTTCCCTCTGAGCAGTGCGTGGTTTCTCTGGTGTTCACTTCTTAGCGGTGCTTTTCTCCTCACATCCCTTAAAATTGCTTAATGCCGAAGAGAAAAATCTCTTCTGCATCCAACCTTCTTTTTAGCTTGTTCACCCTCGGCAACTACTTATGCCAGACATCTTGCCAACGTTTTCTGCTTTCTTCATTTGATACTCAGCCTTGGTACTTTGCAAAGGATTTTCATGTTTTGCATCTGCCCCATTGAATTGTACTACATAGAATTGTGTATGTATAATTGTATTATATATAACTGTTTTTACACCACATTTTGAGATTACTAAGACATATATAAATATTTTGCTTAGCAACATGTAGCGAGCACAAAAATGGCAGTAGCTTAAGTTAAATAGGGCTTGACTCTGTTCGGTTTAAGGAAGTTAGAAAGTGGGCTGTGAGGGGTTTGTGTCTGTGGAGCTCCATAGTAATCAGGGCTCCTAGTTCCTTTTTTGTTGTTAGGCATATTAACTTCTATGGTTAAGGAAGGAAGGAAGGCAGGCTGGCCATTGTGCAAGAGGGAGAGGGCTCTTTGTTTTGTTTTTGGTTTTTCAAGACAGGGTTTCTTTGTGTAGTTTTGGTTCCTATCCTGGATCTCGCTCTGTAGACCACGATGGCCTCAAACTCACAGAGATCTGCTTGGCTCTGCCTCCCGAGTGCTGGGATTAAAGGCGTGTGTCACTGCCGCCCAGCAGGGAGAGGGATCTTTTAGAAGACTAGCAAAGTTCTCCTGTATCTCTGTGGACACAGTAGTAAGAGAAGACGAAGTGGAGGGCTTATACTGTGGAACTCTAAGCTTAGGACTTGCTGTCAGAGGAAGCAGGTGAAAACTGGTTGCTGGAGTGGATAGTATCATTCTATGCTTCTGTATCCTTGTGTATTTCACCTTGTAAAAGATCCTAATGTTATCTAGAAGTTCTGAATTGTCTTTACGTAATCCTTCCTATAAATGACAGTATGTGGGTTTCAGATTCTGATCAAATGATACGATTTTTGAAATATTGTCTAACCTATGAACTTTGTATTTTTAAAAGAATTCTTAATTATGGGAAAATATGCATATCATGACATTACCATATTAACCACTTATAAGTGTACAGTGGCATTAAGTATTTTTCCACTGTTGTGCAACCATTACCAACATCTACCTTTACTCTTCATTTTGCAGAACTGAAATTATCTATTGAACAGAAAATGCCATTGTTCCCTCCTTTCCTCTTTAGGATACTACCATTGTATTGCTGTAACGTTTGCAAGTTAGAATACTGCAGATTACTCACATGAGTAGGATCATTCAGTATTTCGCTTTTTGGATAGGCTCATTTCATTTAATATAATATTCCCAGTGTTGCCCTTTGTATGCCATATCAGAACGTCCTTCCTTTTTAAGGTTGAATAGTATTGTATCATGCTTATATTTCTACTATTTAAAAGTCTGGATCAGTACACTCCTCTGCACAGCAAAGCACCTTTTTCTGGCTTTTGTATATTAACTCTCAAAATGCAGTTATTTTTCTCAACTTCATGTGATTCTATCCCCTTTTTGATTTTTGTTATAGAGAATTTTCAAAGAACTTTGTGTTAGAGTACTTGAGAATGTAAAACACACAACTATATTTGTGTATTGTATGAATGTACATAACCAGGGTATATGTAAATGTGGTATATTTAATTTATAACATACAGAAACAATGCCAGCTAACTTTTTTGAGTGCTTAGTGTCTGCTAGGGTAATACTAAGTGATTTAGATGAATCATTTAATCTTAAAACAGTTCCATAAGAACAATACAATTATTACCTCTGTTTTGTAGGAAACCAAAGAATAGCAAAGTTGAGAAACTTATGTCATGGCAAAAATTTGAGCCCTCTGACATCAGAGCTCATGTTTTCAGTGTTTTTAATTTTATATTTAGTTGACTCAAGTAGTATGATAAGTCTTTGGTTCTTAAGGATATATTCAGTCAGGTACTTGACCTCACATGTAATGGTGGGAAATAATGGTATGTGGTATTCTTAGTGGTCCTGGTAGAATGAACCTGGAAGATGCTTAACATTAACTATCACAGTGAATCAAACTGAAATCTTTGATTTTTTTTAAAATAAGATAAATCCAACCTTTAAAAATAATTTATTTTTATTTCATATGCATTATTGTTTTGCCTGCATGTATGTCTATATATGGGTGTCAGGTCCCCTGGAACTGGAGCTACAGACAGTTGTGAGCTGCCATGTGGGTGCTGGGACTAGAACCCAGGTCCTCTGGAAGAATAGCCAGTGCTCTTAACCACTGAGCCACCTCTCTAGCCCCAGTCTTTGATATTTTTAAGCTGTGCATTTTATCCTGTTTTATTTCAAAATATAACACTAAGGGTAAAATCAGTTTTGTTCACTGTGTACTTGTTCATATTAGATACGTTCATTCAAATAAGAAAATAATGTAAGTAATATTAAATGTATCAACATATCAGTCAAATCATAAGGTCTTTGTGAAGTCTTAGCTAGCCTAAAAGATACCTGGTGCAGCTGTCTCCTAGTAGAAAAACAAATATAACATCTTGAAGATGCTTCATAGATCAATTACTTAAATTTGAGAGGGAATTTACTCTAACGAATACTAGTTTTTTTTTTTTAGTTAAGATTATAAACTACCAAGTAATCTGAAATTGAACATCACTTTATAGGTAATATTTACTTTTGTAGCATAAGTTTAATAGAACCTTTTCATATTTTATTCATTGTTATATTTTATTATTTTATATAGCACATGCCAAAATTTAATTCCATTTCGATTAGTGGGTACCATATGCAGGAAGCAGGAGCTGATGCCATTCTAGAACTGGCCTATACCCTCGCAGATGGGGTGGAGTACTGCAGAACTGGACTCCAGGCTGGACTCTCAATTGATGAGTTTGCACCAAGGTCAGTAGATTAAACTTAGATATCTTTTCTGTATTAACAACATGCATAGAACCATTTTCCACCTGTATAGCAAAATATTACTGATAAAATAAATTTGTAGTGATAAATGGCATGATAGATTTAGATTGTCTTCTAATTTTTCCTAGTGAGAAAGAGAAAATAAGCCAATATTATCAGTAGCAAAGAAATTAGAATTTAATTTGACCATACTTCTCTATAAATTGGAATAACACCATCTTTCTAGTAATTTACAGAACACAACTAACACATGCATGGAGGTTATATTAAAATATAAACATGAGGCTGGGCGGTGGTGGCGCACGCCTTTAATCCCAATCCCAGCACTCGGGAGGCAGAGCCAGGCGGATCTCTGTGAGTTCAAGGCCAGCCTGATCTACAGAGTGAGTTCCAGGAAAGACGCAAAGCTACACAGAGAAACCCTGTCTCGAAAAACCAAAAAAAAAAAAAAAAAAAAAAAAAAAAAAAAAAATATATATATATATATATATATATATATATATATACACATGAAATCAAGTTATATTTTTTCTTTTCATTTGAAAATATGGAAATCACCTATTCCTTTTTTTTCTATAACACGTATATAAATGTTTGGGAATGTACAATACTATAAACTATATAGTCTCAAAATGAATAATAAAGTTAATAAAGTATGAACAATATGGAAACATTTCAAATGAAGTTTATGAAATATTTAAATTGGTCAGAAATCAATCCAATCAGTCCCTGAAGCAAGACTCACCTGTGTGCTGACAATTCAAATGTGCAAAACATAGCTAGTGACCGTTTCTTTGTTCTAAAAATATTGTATGCTTGTTATTACAGCAGCTCCCAAAATGTGGTCCAGTGACTCCTGGGGATTACGTAGATCTTCAAGGTCTACACTGTTCCTGAGTATTTTAAAACTTCATTCTTCTTTTACATTTTTATTTTCTCCAGAGTTGATATAAAGCTATGTGGTATGCTGTATTGAAATAGATTGGACATATGTATGGTTTTAGCTGTCTTCATTTAAGCTGCACATTAAAGAGGTTTGCAGAAATGTAAAACAGGACTGGGAAAATGACTCAGTTGGTAATTACATACAGAGGATCTGAGTTTAATCCCCACAACCCATGTATCAAAACTATAGACATGCTTGCAATCCCAGTGCTGAGAAGGCAGAGGCAGGTGGGTTCCGGGGTTCACTGGCCAGCTATCTCAGCTTGTTCCATATCAGTGACAGACCCTGTCTCAAAAATAAACAAGCAAAACCAGGTAGATGATGCCCAAGAAACACACCTCAAATTATTCTTCGGCCCCCACGTGCACACCTGCACACACATGAACACACAGAAAATGGACACCTGTCTCATAAAAACATTTTAAAATAACAAGTAAAATGTTTATTTTTTTCTAAGTTTTTATGATAGAGAAATATTGCTGTTTGTAAGGTATCCATTTGACATATGTTTATTATTTTACATGAACTAATGGATAAAATTTAGATAAATATCTTGAAATAAAGAAAAGTTCTTCACAGTCTTCAGCAGATTTTGAGGATGAGCACAGATCCTAAGTCCTCAGTGCTTGAGTACATTGAGTTTTGTTAAACTTTAGTGTCTTACAGCTCATTTGGTTTTCATGAGATTTTACAACCTTCTGGTCACTAGAGGCAAATAGGTAATCTAAATACGTAAATCAGTTAAATCCATTACAGAATGTGAGGTAAAAGGGAATAGTGAGGCTGAGGACAAATTAGAGGAGAATGTGACCAAATTCAGTGCCCAATCATTTTCTTAAAACACACAAAATGGAGCCCCATGCTACACAAACAAAGCAAGAATGTGATTCTGTTCTTCCAGTCACAACTCCCGTGTTACAAAGTTGGGATTCCTGGGTCTTTTTCTTTTTAAAGAAATGAATCTTAAGTTGGACATGTAGCTGGATGGCGGAAGCATTGGCCTAGCAAATGTAAGGCCCTAAATTCAATCCCAGCACTAGGGAAATAAGAGTTTGATTCCCAGAGTCTAGTGTGTGTTGAATAAATACTCCACCACTAAGCTGCACCCCAGCCCAAGAATTTGTCTTACTCAGCACACAAGAGGAAAGTCTTTCCTAAAGAAAATCACTTGTGAAGGGAATAACTCTTCCCAGAAGCAGACGTTCACAGCCATTTTTATGTTAGACTCATAGTTACTTAGATACTTGTGCTTTGCTTTTAATTCAAATTAATTGCTTGATATTCAAATCTGGACATGGGTTTTTCTAGGGTGTGATACAATTAGTTTTATTTTCTTGTTTGTATTTTTAAGTTTCATCTAGTTCTGGACTTTACCATTTTAGGTTGTCTTTCTTTTGGGGAATTGGGATGAACTTCTACATGGAAATAGCGAAAATGCGAGCTGGGAGAAGACTTTGGGCTCACTTAGTAGAAAAGATGTTCCATGCTAAAAACCCCAAATCTCTTCTTCTGCGGACACATTGCCAGACATCAGGGTGGTCACTTACTGAGCAGGTATGTATCGATCTGAAAATAGAGATCTTGAATAAGAAAACAAACATTTTCTTCTAGGTAACAGAGCCAGGGATTGCCTTCAACAGCTTGTTTGCTAATAACTGAAAGTCAGAAGTAACACTTAGGTTTTGAGTTTACACATATTGAAAAGAGTTAGCTCCCTCTAGTGGTTAACTCTAAAATCATTCCTAGCTGGCTTGTGCATAGTCCTCTTTTATTATCTTAGTATTTTAGATTAGTGTACAAAGTTGTAGATCTGTTTCATCACATCGTCTTCATACACATATGACATTAAACTTTGTTCTCTTCATTCCCCTCCCTCTAACCACTCCCTTTCCCCACTGGTTCCCTTTCTTCTCTTAGACTTTTTTTCATCACATGTATTCTATCTGTACCTTACCAACCATAAGGTATCTTTCTTTCATGCATGGACCTCTTTTAGTTTTGTGGCCTACAAACACACTTGTAACTACACACACATATACATTTAATTTTAAATCTAGGTTCTTTTTTTTTTTTTTTTTTTTTTTGGTGGATAAGAGGAAAATGCAAGGTATTTTCTGTCCTGAATGTGGCTTATTTTGCTCAACATAGGATTTCCAGTTATACCCATTTTCCTGCAGGTCATGATTTCATTTTTCTTTATAGCTGAGTAGAGTTCCATTGTATTTATGTATCAATCTATTTTTATCTGTTGATAGAGATCTAGGTTGATTTCATTTCCTAACTGTTGTGACTAGAGAATTAATAAACCTGGATGTGCAAGTATCTCTGGTATGTTGTTGATTTAGAGTCCTTTTGGTGTATCCTCAGGAGTGGGATAGCTGGAACCTATGGTAGTGCTACTTGTAGGACCCTAGGTTGGTGCACACTGATTTCTGTAGTGGCTACACAACAGTTCACACTCTCACCCACAGTGAATAGGGCTCCTCTTTGCGTCTTTAACGGTATTTGGTGCTCTTTGTTTCCTTTTTTTTTCTTGTCTCCTCTCTTTCCTTTTTTCCCATCTGTTTTTTAATTTTTATCTCTTCTGATCTTACTGCATAGCCCTGGCTGGTCCGGAACTCAATACCAGACCGGGCTGCCTCTGCCTGCTTCTGCATCCTGAGTGATGAGATCACAGGTGTGCGCTGCCACACCTTATGTCATGGTGCTCGTGATGATAACCATTCAGACTTGGATGAAATGGAATCGGGAAGCAGCTTTAATAGGAATTTCCTTGCTGGCTGTAAATACTTCCTGTTTACCTGCCGTTTGTATTTATTCTTTTGAGTTCTTTTTGGTCTTTAGCCTTTAGCCTCTTTGGTCTTTTCAGTTCATTAGCTTATTTAGGGATGTGGTGGTTCGGGTTTGGGGTCTTAGTTTTTGAGGTTCTTTATGTATCTTAGGTATCAGATTCCTGTTCGGTGTGTGGTGGCAGGTTTTTATTTCCCCATCTGTAGCCGGTCTCTTCACTCTGGAGATTGTTTCCTTTGTTATACAGAAGCTTCTGCATTTCATGAAACCTCATTTGTCAATTCATGGGACTATTTACTGTGCTAATACAGTGAAAAATTATTTGCTGATGAAGAAGAAATGCAAACCCTATTATAATCAATACTTGTAAATAATTCTTAAGAGATACATTTTAGCATAAATCTACCTGTTTAAAATTTGATTTTATTCTAACACATACACACACTTTCAAATAAAAGTTGTGTTTTAAGCAAGAAAGCACACAGGCATTTAAAGACTATCATTTGGATGGTATAATTTGATTCCATTAAAATTGTGTGGTGATATTTTGCTTCTATATCCATTCATTTTATACGTTCACTTACTGTGATTTTAAGTTACATGTCTTTTCTACTTTTAACATTGAATAACAACCAACATGTTCTTTATGACTAGGGAAGTAGAGATTCTGAAGTTGGAAGGAACTTTTGTAATCTTATTTTAATATACTGATTTTTACAATTAAAACTGAAATCTATAGAATAGCCAACATCACAGTTAGGAATATAATGAAATAGAATCCTATTTCCTACCGAAGAATTTACACTTAATCAGTTTAATTAGTCATTTATTAAATGCCTACTTTGGATACATCCATTGCAGGTATGCAAGATAATTAAGGGATTACAAATTAGGAAAAAAGATTCCTGTAATAAGAAAAATTATACTTTATGATATGCTTATGGAACAGTATTTAAACAATGTAAAATTGAGTGATATTTTAGACGAATATGTGAGACAATGTTTTCATGCCTAAGCCTGGACTAGACACCTTGACTCTTAATTTTTTCTAGCTTGCTTACTAATTTGTGTGAGTTTATTTGATCCTCTGATGTCAGATGTGGTGTAGGTTATATAGTTGTTGCTGAATTATAATGTTTCTTCTAGCTCTGATGTCTGTGAACTTTTTTCTCGTTTTGCCTTTGGTTTTTGGTCAAATGTTTTAGGATCCCTACAATAACATTGTCCGCACTGCCATCGAAGCAATGGCGGCTGTGTTTGGAGGGACACAGTCTTTGCATACGAATTCTTTTGATGAAGCTCTAGGCTTGCCAACTGTGAAAAGTGCTCGCATTGCCCGAAACACGCAAATCATCATTCAAGAAGAATCTGGGATCCCCAAAGTGGCTGATCCTTGGGGAGGATCATACATGATGGAATCACTCACAAATGATGTTTATGAAGCTGCTCTGAAGGTCAGTTTCTCCTCTTTCAACTTTGCTTTTTATAGATTTTTTTTAAATATATAATCATTTTTAGATTTATACTAAAAGCCATAAAATATATGTGAGAAGCAAAATTTATCTTTACCTTTATAGTTTTCATTACTAAAACATAATTTAAAAGTATATTTCTCTTTCTATGATTATATTTAATGCAGGATTAAAAGATAGCTATTATTAAAAGTGCATATGCTTAACTCAGATGTATAGACACAGACAGATGCACACATATATAGACAACACACAGAGAAACAGGCAGACACACACAGACATATACACATACACATAACATAGACAGACACACAGTGACAAACAGATTTATAAACAGATATACACAGACACACAGAGACACACATACCCATATACACAGGCACACACACACACACACACACACACACACACACACACACACACATGGTGGTGGTGGGGAGAGAGAGAGAGGCAGTACTCTGTTGTGTTTCAGGTCTTACTTTTCTGTTCACTGGAGTAAGCTACACAGTTTCTTTTCTTTTTATCTGTGTGTTTAACTCACATATGTACTGTGTCTTCTGATTTTGTTGGCTTTAGGCATTAGACACAATGCTTCAGATATTGTCTTTTGCTTTCCTGGTTTAGTAATATTTAGTATTTCAGCTGATAAATACCACTTGTTTCTTTCCCCTTCCTAGCAATACAATGATATCTCAGTTTCTACCTTCTTGTCCTTATTTGATTTGAACTGGCTTCTCTCTAGATCTACTGACATGTATGGAAAAATAAAACCTGAATCTCATGCCTGTTACTTTGAAGCACTTTTTAAAAAATTCTTTACCATTCATGCATGCATGTAATGTGTTTGGATCAAATCCACCCCCTATTCTTTCTGCTCAAATTCTTCCTCATCCACTTTTCCCTTCTAACTTCACATGCTCTGTCTTGAAAAAAAAAAAAAAAGAAAAAGAAATACATACTAAGTCCGTTTGTGCTGCCTCTGCATGGATGCAGACCATCTCCTGTCAGAACCCTCCTCCCTACAGGTAATGGGCTCCCGATCCTCTAGATTCCAATGGCCAGGAGCTCCGAAGATGGGGATAGAGCTTGAACTCCCTCCTGATCCATGCTGGGATTTTGACTGGCTGGTCTCGTGCAGCTCTTTTGCATGCAGTCCCAGACAGCCACTGTGAGTCTGTGTGTGCAAGTGTGTGGTCATGCCTGGCAAGACTGTTTCTCTCCAGACTTCTACTTTCTCTACCTCATAGAGTCTCTCCCGCTCCTCTTCCAAAATGGGCACTTGAGCTTTTGGGGAAAAGATGGGATGTAGACGTACCATTCGGTGTCAAGCATTCCACAGTTTCTTGGTCTTTAAACACTAACCAGTTGTGCATCTCTATGTTCATCTTGATGCACTTCTCATAGACGCTTTCTAGGAGATGAATCACAACTTTATGTGTTTGAAAGTTTCTCCATTGTGTTATTATCCTGGACTAGCATGGGAAGCAGAGGAAGTCCTGGGTGAATGTGTAAGGAGTGGATGAAATCCTGAGCACGGCCATGTCACGGACCTCAATGCCTCAGACCAGGGAACTGCCAAAGCCTTCCTCTGGTCCATGGGCAGATGTTGACAGTGTGTTCAAGAACAGCAAGTGCAGCTTGTTCCTCTTGGATGACTGCAGCTTAAGGCTGTTGTCTTATAGAGACTTCATGTGGAGACTAGCTAACCTCTCCTCCTGTGCTGTACATAAAAAGCACTGAGTTTCCTGGCCATTGCTCTTGACTGGTGCATTTCTTTCCACCTGAGAACTTACGGTCCACCCTATCCCAGCATTGATTATGTTACTTGTATTTGTCTGTCTTTCTTAATCTCCTGTCACCCCAGTCAAGTTCACAAACCCATGCATGAGCTACAGCAGACTTGGCTTAAAATTATTTCTATTCATGATTCTGTGATCAACTTTATTAATACTGGCCTGCTTTTCATTCTAAGTTCTACTCTTGCCTCTAGTATTTGTGATCAGAAATTTGATACTATTTTATGCCAGCTCTTTCTTTCTGAAAGCATCAAGATCTCTTTTGATTTTTGTGTTGCTATCTATCTCGGATGCGTATTTTATTCTATTTTATACTGGGTTTTTGATGGTTCTCTTCCATGTCATATACGCACATATATGATATCACTTCTTGTTTTTCATATTGAAAGTAGAATTGCATTTTGATGTCTATTTTTCTTAAAGAGTCGTAAACCTAAAAAATCTTGATCATGTAACTAAAAATAAAGGCTAGAGAATTGGAGTTGTTGTTGACATTTCCTCACAAGACATGACTGAGAAATTTCAGGTTTTCCAGAATATACTTTAAAATTTTTCTTTTGTCCTTTTAGATAGCTTTAAGCACACAAATTCTAATTATTTCTCTTCTATTTATTTGGTTACTCTCTTATAAAGCATTAATTCGAATGCTATTAGGGGAGATATAACATACAGGACTAGGGTAGATGCTTTTATCTCTCAGTTTTACTAACCTTTCCTTTTTGTCTTTTTTTTCCTTTTTTCTTGTCTTTCTTTCTTTTTCTTTTCTTTTTTTTTTTAGCTCATAAATGAAATTGAAGAAATGGGTGGGATGGCCAAAGCTGTAGCTGAAGGAATACCTAAACTTCGCATTGAAGAATGCGCTGCCCGAAGACAAGCTAGAATAGATTCTGGTAAGAGAATAGAAAAGCTTGTATATGAAATTCAATGATTAAGGAGGACTATTAGTTTCTGTCTCAGGATACTATGCACAATTGATACAAATACATTTTAAAATGAAAAAAAAAGAGGAAAAATAGGGCTTTGGATATTTCTCATATCTGCATATCCAAATGTATTTGTATGTCTGTATCTTAGATCTTTGCATCCTTGCAAGCACACAGGCAAGCTTATATGCACTTAAAACATAGACGTGCATGTATGAACTATTGCCAGTGACAGAATTAAGGATAGTATGCTTGACAGTCGTTGTACTCTACATGGAGGAATTCACTCATTTACCCTGGGGATACTTTTTGATGTGCTTGTTGTGGCTGCGCATGCAGCTGTGAATAGGACAGCCATGAACTCTTCTGCATACAGAGATTTCATTGCAATAAAGACAGAAATGAACACATAAAGAAACTAAGTAATTACTGATGACACTAAGTGCTGTAAGGAAGTAAGAAGTATAAACTGGGGTGCGATGGTGAATTACCTTTAGATGAGAGGAAGGTATGCTCTTAATATTGATTTATTATTTACAGATTTTAAACAGCAACTGGCTGTAAGAAAATTCTAGAAAATATTGGAAAGCTATTGGGCATGGCTACTCACTTTGCTTTCTAAATCTGTCATGGTAACTGACTGTCCTTTTTTGTGTGTGTTAGGAACTGAGAAGGTTTGTAGCTCAGGAGAATAGCAAAGTCCTTCCTTGCAGAGGGCCCATCATGTAACTGTGTAACTATTCTTCCCACCTTACCTGTATCCCAGAATAGAGTTTCTGCATTACACTGAAATTTATTATGAGTTAAGAATGCTACTTAAAAATATTGAACATATAAAAATATGTGATAATCAGAGCGTTTTCAATACGGGACCATTTATGAGTAAATTCACATGTTATTTTCCTTTGGGAAATCAATAGGTTCTGAAGTAATTGTTGGAGTAAATAAGTATCAGTTGGAAAAAGAAGACACTGTAGAAGTTCTGGCCATTGACAATACTTCAGTGCGTAACAAGCAGATTGAAAAACTTAAGAAGGTATTGTTGACCATTGTTTGATAAGTGTGTCCTGGGTTCTGGGTTCTGAGTTCTTAACATTGTTCCACATAGCTTCTATAATATCTGGAAGAGTTCAATATTACTTCTCATTTTTTTTTTTAAAAAGGTAAGACGTTGGGAAACTTGCTTGGAATAAATAATTGGACAATCATGACTCAGTCTAGGTCTCTTAAGACTTTAGTGCTGATGTCACAAAGTAAGAACACACGTTTTCCTCATTTAATTCTGTTAATCAATCCAATATGACAGGAAGCTGGTTTGGAGAGATATCTGTATTTTTCTTAAGTGAATGTGAGATGGAGGTTGAACCCAGTATAAGTAGATTCCTGTGCCTATTCTCTTCATTCTAATTCTAGTGTATTTCCTTTTTTGTTTTTACCATAACTCTGAGCAAAAGGTGCATTTTTCCTACATACCTAGCTATGTGCACTGTGTGAGTGCACCTGTTACAAAGATAAGTTTCAGCAAACAATACTTTTGTAAACCAAGCTCCATGCCCTTAGGTGTTTTTTATTCTATTTAAATTCTATAAAAAGGTTTATCACAAGTATTAATTCTACACTATCATACTGTAGTGCATTACAAGTCATAACTCAGAAGCACCACATTCTAGCACACTGTCCTTAGATGGAAAATTTAGATTCAAAACATGCAGCCATAAAATAATGAAAAATAAACCTTTGCTCTTTGAAGAGGAATTGAATTGAGTTTTTCTTTGCTGTAATACATATTTTCCATCCATCTCTGATAACAGATGCTATATTGTCAGTGGCATCCTGGGAAATGTCACAGTTTGGACTCTCTTTGCAGGAGGTGCAGATTGTGAGACTTGGGCTTGAGTAATGTTGATTGTTCAAGTTGATGACAGAGCGCAGTGGAGCTCGGACCTGACGGGACGTGGTTTTAGCCATGCTTTCTATTATCTGTCTTGGGTTCTTTCTGTCTCTGACCAGGTCTCCTCTTAGAATGATTTTTAAATAAAACTAATAGCACTATTATGTATTATGGCCAGCATTTGTCAGTCATTTAAAGGACACTTCTGGTATAGTTAAACTCCACTGTAAGCTCCGGTCTGGTGCTCTTCCCACTGTTAATTGTGTCCCTTGGCATTCCCCTGTAAAGGGCCCACCTGTTTTCATTGTGTTGTTGCTTCAGAAAAGCCTAGGCAACTATTTGGAAAGTTACCGCTTGGCTTGCTTCTGATTTGTTGGCTTTGTGCTAAATCAGAATTTTTTTACAGAATCCTGAATGAATGAATTAAACAAATGAACACACCTCTCAGGTTGAATATTATTCTCTTCCACTTCTTCCCCTGTTTTGAGGTAAAGATTATGGCACTTGGTCAACAGAGTGTGTGCCAGAGTTTAATCTTGTAATACCTATTTTATTGCCCTTTCACATAAAGCTGTCCCTTCTCTTCTCTCTAAGATCAAATCGAGCAGGGATCCAGCTTTGGCTGAGCGGTGTCTCCAGGCACTTACCCAGTGTGCTGCCAGTGGAGACGGCAACATTTTGGCTCTTGCTGTGGATGCAGCTCGTGCAAGGTGAACATGTGGGAGTTTGGAGAGTTCCGAATAATGAAAGTTTGACCAATTTAGCTTTTCAGACTGTACTCAAATAAAACATTGCTTCTGTAAATTCTATGAGCCTGAAAGGAAAGAGTGGAAACTATTAGAAAGTTTACACTGATTTTTCTCAAGTTTCAATACTTACTAATATTTAAAATATTAATATCTTTTGAGGGATATTAGTAGTTGTGCAATTCACTGTCGCTCAGAACATTTGGCACTATTATAATGCATCAGTTTCTTTGATTGGTAGGTTGAGATCTGAAGTACTCAGTCGTATGATCAAGGTTGTGTGTACAGCCGTGACATAGATAGTCTTTGAAGGAAAGAGGGGAAACTTTTAACCTGGTAATTGTTCAAAAGAAGTTATTGTCATGTCATTGCTTTGGAATCATTAATCATGAAGCAGCCAGGAGAATACACAACCCGCAATACTAATTCCTTCTCCTCTGGGGCTAGATGAATCTTGTGGAAAATGAAAGTAGAAGGAAGTGGGGAAACGCCGGGGAAGGAGAGGCAAGAGAGCACTTGTAAAGTAGTTTCCTCTCTGGTTTTGTGCTGATGGCTTGGCCTGTTTCAGTGTTTTCTTCTGTAATCTACCTGGTCTTCTTGAGTTCACCACTCTGCTTGGCTGAAACACACTGAAAGATTTATATCTCATCAGAAAATTGCAGTGATACCTTTGCTCTGCCCATTTGTATTGATAAATGGGACATAGTTGAGTTGTCTTCAGATACTTACTGACTTGTAACTTTTAGGTTATTTAGTCTTTATTTTGGTTGATGAATATTATAAAGGAATTAAGAATTACTTTTATATTATTTTCAGGAAAGATGCTTTTATAGTATCTTAAAAGCATTCTTGAGTTTCTACAGTCTATTTTTATTTATTAATAAAATATTCTAATTGTATTGATATTGAGGTGAACATTTATCTACTTATTGTTAATTAATGCTCTCCCTGATACCTCTTTTTAATATTGTAGATGTACAGTTGGAGAAATCACAGATGCTTTGAAAAAGGTTTTTGGTGAGCATAAAGCTAATGATCGTATGGTGAGTGGAGCTTATCGGCAGGAGTTCGGAGAAAGTAAAGAGATCACATATGCCATCAAGAGGTACTGTGTGAGCTTTAGTGAGCTCTGATCTCATCTTCATGATATTAAAACAGTTCCCTTGAGCCTGCTGATGACTTAGTGTCCTTGCTACTTGGGAAATACATCGACTTTTCTACTAGTCTGTTATTCTCATAAAACTAATAAATATTAAATAATATATATAATACAGTTAATATAATATGTGATTAACCTATAACTTATAATATTTATATAATTTATTATTCATAACTATAATTATAAATACACAGTCCTGTGTCAGTATGTGAAACTTTAATATTTGACCAACCATAGATTACATACATAGGGAGATCCCATAAGATTGTAATGGTGCTAATTCCTGTTTCCCATTGGTACTCCACCTAGTGGTGTTGTAGCTATGGTCACAGTCATGTGTTGATGGTGATGCTGCTATACACCTGTGCTCTGCTAGTTATATAGAAGTATAGCACTTACCATCATGTGCAGTACATAGTAACTAATGATAACAAACAATGCTGTTGCTCGTTTGCTGTTCTTTCAATTTCCATTTTAGAGTGCACTCGTTCTACTGGTAAAAATGGTGTACTGCAAAATAGAATGCAGGCTGTAAGCAGCCTCATGCTTCTGCTTCCTGAATCTTAATTGCACCATTTTCTCCTGAATTTGATTTAACTTTGTGTTTCTTTTTTAACACTTGTGGGAACAGAAAGCTACATCTCACACACACACACACACACACACACACACACACACACACACACACACACACACACCATAGAGCCTAGATGTGTAGTAAGCTGTACCACTAAGTTTATATATAGTATAATGTTTGCATATTGACAAAGCCACCTCAATTCTCTGAAGATGTCTTTAGTTATTTAATAATTTATGACTATAATGAATTATATATAATTACATGAAACATAGTATTTACTAATGAGAGTGAAATTAAATATTAAAATTTGGCAAAATGAATTCTGTTTTTACCTTGCACCATAGTCACCATTAGGAGTCTCTTATTTCAAACATGTGTTTATTTAACTAATACTGATATTGCTTCAAATCTTCCAGGGAGAGAGCTTACCATCATATTGCTATAGACTTTCATAACTTTTTTCACATGATTCAATTGCTTGAATAGTTCAAACAATTTTCCCATTTGAAAAACAAACATCTGGCTGCTACCTATATAAAATGTAAAGTCAGTCTTCGTTGAGTTGACAGTGAGGACCGTTGCCACTGCCTGACATGAAGCTGTAATGTGTGTTGTTTCTTGGATATAAAACCGACTTCTGGGTGATTGGTGTTTTCAACTTGTATAACACACTTTCTTCTAAAAACTGCATTAACACTTATACAGTCTGTTAATACTGTTTTAATATACTAATAGTCAATGTAAAAGTCGTCAGAAGGAATCTTTTTTTTAAAAACAAAAATTGATGTTGTGTTTTGACATGTTTGGTATAATTTGTCATTTTATACACACAAGCATTCTGATTATGTATCATCACAATGGGCCACATTATCTGGTAATACTGGCTTCACAGAATGATTGTGGTAATGTTCCCTCCCATTCTGTTTTATGGAGCCATTTGAGAAGCATTGGTATTAGTTTTCCTTTGAAGGAGTGGTAGAATTCTCCAGTGACTGGCAGTGAACTCTCCAGTCAAAAGCTTTTCTTTCTTGGGAGACTGTTTCTGTCTGATCCCATTGTCTGTTGTATATCAGTCCGGTGTTTGTCCTTTGATTTAATTTCAGTAGGCTATATTTGTTAGGAATTTATCTGCTCTTGAGGTGATGGGCTCACAGACTGTGCCATCTTTCAAACTTGGCTCTAACCAGAAGATAACCATATTCAATCAAGGCTTGCATGGCATTCTCACTATTAAACACAGATATTAATGACTTGCACATAAGTGGGTGTTCTTAAAAGATTTATGTGGGTAAATTGTGGTTTTTATATCTTACATTTGGACAGTTAATATTTAAATATTATTGTCTTTTGAAATGTTCCCAGAGTTGATCAATTCATGGAACGTGAAGGTCGCAGACCTCGTCTTCTTGTGGCAAAAATGGGACAAGATGGCCATGACAGAGGAGCCAAGGTTATTGCTACAGGATTTGCTGATCTTGGTTTTGATGTGGACATAGGCCCTCTTTTTCAGGTATGTGCCACATTTAGAAAAAGTAAAGTCAATGTTAATAGCCAAGATGATGTTTTTGAAACTGTTTTCAAAAAGTCCAACCAATTCTGCATTTTCCTATATATATATTTCCTATATATATATATATATTATCCTATATATATTTCCTATATATATATATATATTCCATTTAATTTATGATTAAAAAGTAAAAAGTTCATGTTAACTCTGATTTTTGTGGAAATAAATGTCAGTTGAGAATGAAATGCTATGGGACTCTGGAAAGCGAGGTTTACTTTAAAGGTTTTATTAGTGTCTTTGAGTGTTGATTGGTATTTTGTGGTCCATGAAGATTACCTTGAAGATTCCTTGCAGACATTTTTTTTTCTAACTGAGACGTAATTGATAAATTCCAGTCCCAGAAGCACATACAGGATTGGTGTTGAGTCCACCACAGCTTCTCTGCTACCCCCAATTTAAGAACGAGGGGCCAGGTAGGGACAGTCAGTCACCAGTGCGGGACATTGACTTCAGTACCCAGCGCTCTCCTTCACCCCTGCCTGGTCATAACCAGAGCTCTTTCTCTGCTTTCTGTGTGCTCAGACCCCTCATGAAGTGGCTCAGCAGGCTGTGGACGCAGACGTGCATGCGGTGGGCATCAGCACACTTGCTGCTGGCCACAAAACCCTGGTACCTGAGCTCATCAAAGAACTCATTGTCCTGGGACGGCCAGATATCCTGGTCATGTGTGGCGGTGTGATTCCTCCACAGGTATTTTTTTCTTCATACTTTTGTGCACATAGGTACATGGACACGTGCACACACATGGATACACACAAGTTTTTATAGGAGTTGCTAACAAGAGTGTGAGTGAGGGCTTTTCTTACAGGAGCAGGAGTGACTCAAAAACAGATCACTAAAGAGCCCACCCTGACCCCGGGGAAGACTTAAGAAAGTGCCTTCCTGGAGCCCTCTGCAGGACTTAGGCACCTCCATAGATCCGAAAAGTCTCTCCATGGCAGCTTTGCTGGTCAGTGTCCTCCAGCAGTTGTGTGCTGCTCCTATAGCCTTGGGGTAGGGTCCTTGTGAATCCTGCAAGTTTCAGCTGTCCCAGACACGTGAATTTAGTTGCCTTCCTGAGTCTTAGGAATCTCCTTGCTTCTTCCTTGAAGGAAGGTTTCAATAATTCAGAGAAAATTGCTATGTAAAACAACACATATACATCACCCACCCCTTCATGCATATCTATTAGGCTATGAAATTGAAGATAATGCAGGACTAACACAGACATAGATAAATAGATAGATAGATAGATAGATAGATACATACATACATACATACATACATACATACATACATACACAGGTACATATGTACATAGGTACATAGATAGACAGATAGACATTTTTCTAAGGATGAATTTGTTTTAGATGTAGAGGCAAATTATATCCCGGTGATTTCTCTAGCTAAATTCTGCAGACAGTGCTATTATTTTTCTATTAAGGTTATATTTTAATTCATTATATAACATTTAACGTAACTCTCCACAAAAATTGTGTGAGAAAACTACCAGGAATTTACGATAACTATCTACCATCTTCATATTCTGTGAACAGTGGCAGAGAGACTTGAATAAGAGCAATGGGCTTCACAATAGAGAGAGACAGATGATGGAAAGGCAGTGTGTCTGTCATCCCCTGGACAGAGGTATAGTGGCTTTAGATGGGTCGTTTAGGTAGCTTGCATCTGGTAGAGAGTCACTCATCCATTTCTTCGATGACCCCATCCTTGAATATTGTTCTACCCCAGAGTTATGTCATTTGCATAACTTGATAAAACTCCTTTACTAGTGAAACTATTTTGATTGAGACAGTTTTTCTGGATTGAAAAATACCATATGGCTAGCACATGAAATCAGCTTGTCCTGAATATTATAGGCTAGAGGGAGAGGAAGTGGCTATTTTAACAAACATTTGAGTTCTCTTAGGAATGGAGAAATGGATGATGTCAATTAACCATTTAATGACACCACCCTGTGTTATTACTGTTGGTTTAGAAGAATTACTTAAGATGCAAAAAAGGCCTATTCCCCATCTGGTTTCTAATGATAACCACTTTTCCTTTTTAATTAAGAATAGGAAAAACTTGGTTATGAGTGTATAGGAAAGTAAATGTTTGTAGGTGCTGCAAAGACCCCACTACAACACCGTGTCAGTAAATATGATTTTGCATCTAGATGTACAGTCTTTATTCCTCTATTAAGGTGATGATGCAGTGAGTGACTTGCATATTGTTTTCTTCCTACATCAATAAGGTTTTAACATGATATAGTCAACATGAAAAAGTCTTTATTAATACACTTTCCAATTTTTGTAAGTGTAGTTTATGTTTGGGGAAAGAAAGACCAATTTATTTGTATATTTTTTATTCCTTGAGATGTGGGTCTCAGTACTCTGCTCAAGCAGTCCCCCATGTCAGTCACAGGCACATCCTACCACACTTTGCTAAGGGCTATTATTTATTGAGATTGCCTGTCTATGGAATAATTTGTATATCTTGCAGCTATGGAAATTATAATTCCTAAGTTCTAGGCCATGATATTAAAATGTAGGAATTAAAGTAATTAAGCTGTGGAAAATAGTTGGATTAAAGTAACAGTTGAGAAAAAATTAAATATGCTGTGTGAATAAACAGGTAGTTTCAAGAAATATATTTCAAGTCACATTAACTTTCTTGATAGAGTCACTGAGAGCATCTTTAACAGTTTGCTATATTTTACTATAAAGTTAAAGTCTGAGCATGGCTGCTTTCTCTGACAGACTTCTATTAGTATGGGTAGCCTTTATTAGGTAGTGAAAACAGAGCTCATATACTCATTATTAGTTTTCTGTTACTGTAACAAATATCTAAGAAAACCAACTTTCAAAGTGAAAAAGCTATTTTAACTCACAGTTTTGGAGATTTCAGTCCATTGTCTATTGTTCCTGTTGCTTTTGGGAATCTACATTATAACAAGGAGAGCATAGAGAAGGAAAATTATTCACCTCAGGGTCCAACATGAAAAATAAAGAAGAATGAATTCTCAGACTAGTGACCCAAGACTCCTAGATCCCACTTGTACCACTTCAGCACCTTACAGTCGTGCACAGGCCTGGGTCCAACCCTTTAATGTGTGGTCCTTTGGGGAACACTGATTAAACTATAGTACAGGGTGTATGTGAAATGCTGCTGTTACTTAACTGAAAGCCACTTAGTATTGAACTAGAAAGTGTAACACAGAGTGTTGAATCCAGCAGATGTACCCATTCCAGATGCAGCATTTACAGTTTCTGCAGTTTGATTAAACATGTCCCATCTCCATACTTTGCAACTCAGCCAGGATCTGGACCTCTTTGCATCATTGTCCTCAAATGCTTTGGGCTAGCTGAGTGAACACATGGATCCTAGTTACATTTTGAAGCATAATTTTCCTGGCCTGGTTTGTGGAAGACCTTGTGAAGTACCTTAATTTGGAGATAATTCCAAATTAATACCTAAGGTGCATAAATAAAAACAGCATAAACAACATCTGTGTGCCCTTTGCCCACATTTAGGAATTGCTAACTTTTTTTTTTTTTTTGGTTTTTCGAGACAGGGTTTCTCTGTGTAGCTTTGTGCCTTTCCTGGAACTCACTTGGTAGTCCAGGCTGGCCTCGAACTCACAGAGATCCGCCTGGCCCTGCCTCCCGAGTGCTGGGATTAAAGGCGTGCGCCACCACCGCCCGGCGGAATTGCTAACTTTTAACACACCCACTAAGGTATATTTTACAAAGCTTGTGTAAGACTTAAGCAAGTCAGACCTTTTGAGTTACAGAATTTCAGAGGACTCCACAAGCTGCCAGCTCAATATCCCATTCCATGTCCATAGCTCAGATGTAAGGATAACACCATGGAATGCTGCATTATTCGGAAAGGAAAAGAAGGCAGCCTCTCAGTCAGCCTGTTGGAGATGGTTGTTACCAGATGCTTCAGTCATTCTTATGGGCTCTTCAAACACATAGCACCTGCTGTCTCAGACAGTGATGTGTTTTCAGTGTTTATAGGTCCAGTGAAGGGGATACGAAGATGACTGGACATGAACTCTGTTCTCAGAAGTTCAGACAAAAAGGACACAGGTTCAGGAGTATGTTTTAAATGCTATTGCAAAAAAAAAAAAAAAAAAAAAGTAAAGAATTTGTAAGAATAGTACAAAGGTAGGAAAGGGTACTTGGCAGATAATTCGTGTGATTTGCAATTTATTGTCCAGTTTTGATCATTTGAAAATAGGAGAAAAAGACCACTGTTTCAACAGTTAAACACGGACTAGACCATCTGTCGTGTATGGTAAGGGTTAAGCCTCACAGCACACCCTAAATTTACTATTATAGCTAAATATGTTCTGCTGTTAACGCAGCCTAAAGCCTGTGGCAGTACTTGTGCCCCAGGACTCCTTACACTAAAACTTAGCCTTCACTAAACTAAGCTAATGACTGCTGCAGCAGAACAGAAAAATGACTGGTCTTCTTAAACAGAAAATCTGATTTATCATGAGGCTACATTCAAAATATCACTATTCACTAGTGACAGCTACATGTCCAGGAGAAAATAAATGGACTTTTAAACTTGGAAACATCATGATATTAAGTTTAACACAGAGAAGGATAAGCAGTAGAACAGAGAAAAATTAGATTTTAAAGTGCAATTCCTTCCTCATTAGGGCTACATAGCTTCACATTGTAGACAACACCAGGCAGAGTTCTGATTTAGATTTAGGATCTGAGCATAGTGTTGCTGGTTATTATTACCTGCCCCAGTCAAGAAAAGTGTTTGTTTCAGCTTCACATGCAAACAGTGTACCAGCTGAGAAAGGAAAAGGTATACACACTCACACAGACACATATGTATAAAGTATATTTCTTTGAACTTGAAATAATGTCTCTCTTAATCAAGCAAATGTGTTCAACAGGATTATGACTTTCTGTATGAAGCTGGTGTTTCCCATGTATTTGGTCCTGGAACCCGGATTCCCAAAGCCGCCGTTCAAGTGCTTGATGATATTGAGAAGTGTTTGACAGAGAAGCAGCAATCTGTATAACATCTGGATCTTTAGCTATGACCAAAGAAGATAGTAAATGTTATGTGCCTGTTAATGTGCCTGCCTTGGCAGCCTCACAATAAAATACCCTGATTATAAACATGAAGTCACGCTAATACACATATTTAAAGAGTCTTGAGTTTAAAAATAAAAATCTCTAAAAATCATCTACACCAAATATTTCTTAAATACATTATTTTGAAAATTAAAAATTAAAATGGTATATTGCTTGTAGCTGGAGTTTTCTTCAATCCCTTGGCCCACAGTTGCTCAGACCCAAGTAAACACATAGAGACTTATATTACTTATAAACTGTATGACCGTGGCAGGCTTCTTGCTAGCTAGATCTTACACTTAAATTAACCCATAATTCTTATTTATGTTTAGCCATGGGGCTTGGTACCTTTTCTCAGTTCTGCTTTCACATCTTGCTTCTCATGGCAGCGGCAGCTGGCAGCATCTCCTGACTCAGCCTTCCACTTCCCAGAATTCTCCTCTCCCTTGTCCTGCCTATACTATACTTCCTGCCTGGCTACTGGCCAATCAGTGTTTTTTATTTATCAATCAATCAGAGCAACACATTCACAGCATACAGAAAGACATCCCCAGCAACTGCTTAGAAATAACTAATAATACAATTACTTATAAATAATAACTTCTGTTTTGTTTTGTTTTTTTGAGACAAGGTTTCACTATGTAGCTCTGGCTATTCTGTAACTCATTGTTTAGACCAAGCTGGTCTCAAACTCACAGAGATCTACCTGCCTCTGCCTCCTGAGTACTGGGATTAAAGGTGTGTGCTAACATGCACAACAAATAATTAAACCTTACATATTAAAATTTGACTGATTCCTTCTGTCAATTTAGTGTTGATTTGAGTACTCAAGTTCCTGTGTTAATATATTAATAAAATACTATTTATCTTAGAAGAAAGAGTGGATGGTATTTATGTATGGAAATAGATTGGAGTTATGATCCTTAGCCAGATCTACCATTGCTCCAGTAAAAGTATTGCATCATACCCTGCAGGATAGAATAGGGGACAAAGACCAGATATGCCTTCCAGGATTGTTCAGTTCTTCCTTAGCATGAGAATGTGATACCGTTAATGTCAGGCCTGATTCAAAACTCAAGAAAGGATGTTTGTGAACACTTCTTTCGATGAAATTCTGATTCTAAGTCCATTACATAAAATAAGTCTTCAGATCTAGAAATGTGCTGATTCGTATAGATTTTCTTACTAAAGATTAGTTACAAAAATAAAAATAGTCCAAAGAACCCTTGTAGTGTGATGTTAAATAATTCCTTCAATAAAGGAAGAGAATCATTCTTTGTTAACATAAGGTATTTAATGAAGGTGAAGTAAGTAATAAGGGTTCTTTTGTATATTTCTGTATTATAAATCAGACAGTAGGGTTTGGGAGGGCATAATCATATATTGCTGTAGAATTAAACTACACTATAATACAGTTCAATTTGCAGAACACGACTCTTAGGAGGGCATCATGATTATTGTTTGTATTTCAAAGATGAGCAGTTTGACTTCAAGGTCAGCAATATATTCATTGTCATCTTATGTACTTTTAAAAAAGAAATACATATTCAATAAATATGTTGTTCCTGTGATGTGTTCCCTTATGTGCTTGGTGATATGACATGCACTGTTTTATATATTTACAATTCCTGACATTTTTCTTTTTTTCAATTAAGAAAAAATTTCCATTTATTTCACACACCAATCAAAGATCCCCCTCTTCCCTCCTCCCACCCCACCAGCCTCTCCCTCCCAACCCACTCCTCCCCACAAGAAGGCAAGGCCTCCCATGAGGAGGCACATCCAGTAGAGGCAAGTCCAAGCCCCTCCCCCTGCCTCAAGGCTTCACTGAGGTGTCCCATCATAGTGGGCTCCAAGAAGCCTGCTCATACCAGGGATGGATTCTGATCCTACTGCCAGGGGTCCCCCCAAGCAGATCAAGCTACACAATTGTCTTGCCATGCAGAGGGCCTAGTTCAGTCCCATGCAGGCTCTACAGCCATTGATCCAACTTTCATGAGTTCCTACTAGTTTGGTTTGGCCTGACATTTCTCTTTGATGACCACTTTGAGAAGATTAGTCATCAAAAGCTACCAGATTTTATGGTTATCATGTGTTTTTTACCCAAACCCCAAAGTAATAGAATCAATAATCTCACTATTTGACAATATTTCCTGAAGTACTCAGAAATATGATGCATAGGTAGTAAGTTTGGCCTTACTCTAGATTAAGTGTTTATCATTATTGTATATAGAAAATACCAGCATTTAAACGTTTTACTGTTCAAGGCTGGAGTTAAGTGCACTGGCTGCTCTTCCAGAGGTCCTGAGTTCAATTCCCAGCAACCACATGGTGGCTTACAACCATCTATAATGAGGTTCTGGTGTGCAGGCATACATGCAGGCAGAACATTGTATACATAATAAATAAATAAATCTTTAGAGAAAAAAAAAGAGACCAGGACTGCTCCAGGCATCCCACCTGTTAGACTTTGAGAGGACCCAGGGAAACATCACCGTGGCGCGTGCGCACGCGTGCGCGCACACACACACACACACACACACACACACACACACACACACACAACCAAACAAACCAAAAAAAAATTTTACTATTCATTTATTTCAGAAAATTCCAAAGAAAATATTCTGTCTTATTTTTCTGTCTTTGGGTCAAAACCTCTGTGTTTACCAATAGGCACTTTTGGAATTAGACAATGACCATGTATAAAAAGAAAGTGAAGCCGGGCGGTGGTGGCGCACGCCTTTAATCCCAGCACTCGGGAGGCAGAGCCAGGCGGATCTCTGTGAGTTCGAGGCCAGCCTGGACTACCAAGTGAGTTCCAGGAAAGGCGCAAAGCTACACAGAGAAACCCTGTCTCGAAAAACCAAAAAAAAAAAAAAAAGAAAGTGAATGTTCCACAGTCATCACATATTATAAAATAGAGAAAGATTAGGACGGCATCTGCCACTTTATACCTTCCTAATGGGAACTGGAATCAAAACAGAAGGTTTAGTGATATTATAAAGCACATTCAAAATACACTGCAAAGAAGGTTTACTGAGATACCTGGGTTGAAGGTCAGTGTCTCAACCAGCTGCTAAAATAGTCAAAGCCACATCTTCGTCCCAGCATTCATCTTTGATCAAATGTTGGTTTTGTGAACCATAGTATGGGCAAAGGTGACAAAATCATGTCATGTGGCATAGGACATGAATCTTTAAGTATGTACAGATAAAGGATAAACAGATCAGTGAGAAACAGTAGATAGACCCTTGCACACACACTGTGGAACTGCAGAGAGAAGAAAACCTCTGTATCAGTTAGGGTGTAATGAGAACAATCACCAGGGAGAGTGATGTATGCTTTATGATTTATTGGAGGAATTTGCTTACACAACTGAACAGAAACATGCAAATGACCACAAGGAGGCAACTGCTCTCAGGCACAAGTTGAGGCATGCTCTCTGCAAGTAGGCAGTCAGGAAGGAAGCTAGCAGGGTTCTGGGAGAGCAACAGCAGGTCCAGCCACTGTTTGGAGTCTATGGGGCAAGGGTTTTGGGTCCCCTTCAAAGAGCTCCTCCCAGTGGGTCAAATGGGCCGTTCAGGATAACCTCTCATTTGATTAAAGCCAACCGAATAAGACCTTGAGTTATATAATTCCATCTCGGTATCATTAAAGATTCAGGAAGGATTGGTATAGTGTGTGTGTGTGTGTGTGTGTGTCCATGTGTCCATCTGTCTGTGTGTCCGTGTGCATGCATACCACAGAACTGACTGCTTTTACCTTTCTACCATAGTCTCAGGTGACTAACCCTGGAAGCCACCTAACTAGAGACACACCGTATTAGCAGTTAGAGGATGGGTTCGTATTCCTATATGAAGAAAGGCACACGACCCAGAGGTTCATGCCTGTCCATGTCTGCTATCTAGTGTGGCAACCCACGTGTAGAAACAATAGATATATATTTGGTGATAGAAAATTTGCGGAAGAAGACCACGAATGCTAACTCAAACAGGTTATCTCCAAGGTATTTGGAATGTTCTTTCTCAAAACCAGCCATTAGAATTCACTCTTATTCTCAGAGTTCCTTTAATATCACTCATGAACCTCTCACCACTGGGTGAGAAATGTGATGTTAGACTCCAGCCTCAGCTCAGCCTTTCTCCCACAGATATCCTATACACTGAGTAACAGGCAACCCTTGCCAGGAGTTCTTATCAGGGAAGCTCAGTCACATAAAAAGAATGGCCACCTGGTGGGGAAGGCTTTGCCCTGGAGGAGATGGGAATGGGGGGGGGCATTGGGGGGAAGGTGAGGGGGACGGGAGGGGGGGAGAACAAGGGAATCCATGACTGATATGTAGAACTGAATTGTATTGCAAAATAAATTAAAAAAAAAAAAAAAAAAAAAAAAAAAAGAATGGCCACATTTCTGCCCCTATCCTCTTTCTGCCTGGAAACCAGAGAGCCTGGCTTCAAACTCTTGCCATGAAACCTCTCCCGTCTTCAGAAAACTGTAAGAACAGACCTCCACTTCTACACCCATCATGCTGTTTGTTTCTGGTGATGGAGCCTGAACTCTCCTCAAAGCCCTCACCTTGTTATTACTTCTCTGTCTATAGCATTAGTAATTTGTCTAATAAACTCTTTATTCCTCAATAGTCCACCTATATATTCTCTGGAAAACTCTGCCCCATGTAAAACCTAACAAGTTTGGATGGTGATAATAGCCTTTCATCACATAGATTGTGCACAACTTTGCCTTTTCTCGTCAAGACAGAGTTAATGAATGTACAAGCAGCTGAGTTCAAATCTTCTTTTCTTTTTTTGTCCTTTGAAATTTTGTTAGGAAGAGGCAAAATAGTTTTGTATGTATTAATGGGGGTATGGTAAGATGTTTTGTTAAATGCGTAATTGTTTCATGAGTCTAGTAATGTAATTAGCATATTCATCACCTTGAATTTTCATCATTCTTTTATGATAAAGACATAAAAATCCTCTTTTAAATGTAGTTTTAAAAAGTAAATTTCATAGAAGCTGAGAGAAGAGGAGTGACCATGCTAAGACTGAGGAGAGCTGGGATAAAGGGTGGGAAGTTGGTTAACCAGCATAACGTGGACGTGAGATAGGATGGATACGTTATACATTCTTAAAGCTTCATTTTCCAGTGGTATCCGAGGATTTGACTGTAACACGTTCTTTAACTCTGAATAGGGGGAGATCAAGCTCTTCCTAGTCCTCTGCAAACATCCTGTGTATTGGTTTTCCTTTGACCCTTGCTTCCTTGCCTGGAATTTCCACCTTCATGGCCAGGGAGGTCTTCCTTGGCACCTTTCTCTGAGAAGTAACTCCTTTCCTGATACTCTGCTCTGCAGGTCCTAGCTGCCTTGACCACCTGAACTCTGATCTCATCTCCTTGGCTCAATGAGACTGACACACTCTGTTTATGTTTAATTTCCTGTATGGTATGAGTTGAAAACTGCCTTCAAGCAGTAGAGTAGGACCCTCAAAAAGGTAATGGCAATAGCAATACTAAACAGTATACAAAAATAAAGTTGGATGCTTTCCTTGTACCATTTATAAAATGTAACCCAAATTAGACCAAATATAAAAATAAGATCAAACAAGGGACTGAACTTGACAGTAATTTGTTGAATGTGATATCAAAAGCACAAGCAATATCAGGGAAAATGGAATATTTTGACATCATAAAAATTAAAAATTTGTTTATTTCTGCTCTGAACCAGTAGTTGTTCAGTAGGGAGTTTGTAGGCTTTCTGTTGTTGTTGAAATCCACCTTTAGTCTGTGGTGATCTGATAGGATACAGGGGTTATTTCAATTTTCTTGTATCTATTGAGACTTCCTGGGAGGCCTGCTCTTGGAGGGGAAGTGTGTGTGTGTGGGATGGTTCCGGAGGGGAGGGGAAATAGGAGGAGAAGAGGGAGGGGAAACTGCAGTTGTGATGTAATATATGAGAGAAGAATAAAAATAAAAATTAATAACTTGTGCCTCGAAGTACATTATCTACACAAGAAATGTGCAGCTGTATAAGATATTATGGTAGTGTGTCTTTATAAATGGCTGTTCTCCATGATATATCAATAGTTTCCAGCCTAACAAAGCATAAGAGTAAATATTCCAATTGTAGGCAAAGGAGTGGATCGATGGCCAAGAGGAAGGCACTTGTTGCTCTTGCAGAGGTACTGGATTCTGTTTCCAGCGCCCAAATGGCAGCTCACAGCTGTATCTCAGTTCCAGTGGTTGTGTTGTCTCTTCTGGCCTCTGCAGGCAGCAGGCATGCACATGGCACACATACCTATTATGCAGGCAAAACACATACACATGAAATAAAAATAAATTAAAAAAAAGTGGATAGAATTTGAGAGAGAGTGGAGATGGGGTGTGGACCTAGATGGGGTTGTGAATGGCCTCAAAATACATTGTATGCATGTATGTAATTCTCACAGAATTAATGAAAATATTTTTTAAAGTGGGCAAAGGACCTAAATAGACATTTCTCCAAATAAATTCTGTAGCTGCCCAAAGCACAGGAGAAGATATTCACCATCACTACTTCCCAGTCTTTAAGTAAATGCAAATCAACGCCAAGCGGCATTTCATTTCACTCCTGTACGAATGTCTATTCCATAGTCTAAAATAAGGAAATGAACAAAAGGCTAGGATAGGGGCGGCGGGGGTGGGAACTGGGCACCTTGTCCATTTCCTGAAATTTACTGTGGTTCATCTATTGTGGAAAAGAGTTAAGTCCTGCAGAGAACTAAACATGATTACCGTATGGTTGAGTAGTTCCGTTTCTAGGTATGTAGGTTTGTTTTTGTCTTTTCATCTTTTAGAAAGGTGAGTGCAGGGATTCAAACACATTTATGCAGCAGTTGTCAGGTACTGACTGTCGCCTCAGTCTGTATCTTGAATACTGAAATGTGACGGTGTTTGTAGGTTAGATAAGGGAATCATTGCCCAGTCTTTATAATGGAATGCATGTCTTGTTAAGAGGCCACAGACCCTGGTCCCTGTCCCCACTACAGTAAGAAAATGGTAGCTGTCCTCAACATGCCCCTTGACAAAGCCTGACGTGTTCATCTTTTACTTCACCAATTTTTTGTTTTGTTTTGTTTGGTTTGAGACAGGGTTTCTCTGTGTAACAGCTGCCTCTGCCTCCCGAGTGCTGGAATTAAAGGCTTGTGCCAGCACTACCCAGCAACTTCACTACTTCCAAAACTGAAAATTAAACATCGTTTCTAGGCTATTGAGTCTACAGGACTTTATTATTTTTTTTTTGTCAATCTGACTGATAGACACTATGTTCACAGTGGCATTATTTATAAAGGTCAAAAGGCAGAGGCAATCCCAGTATCTGTCTACTGACAAAATGTGGCATCTATTTACATTGAAATATCCACTGAAAATAGGAAAACAATGTTGGGGACTATTATTTTAAGGTGTGTTACTTTTGTTTATGTTGCATTTGTTTAACTCTGCAAAGCTTTGTTAGACCACTGATGGTCTAATAAAGGACTGAACAGCCAATAGCAAGGCAGGAGAAAGGATAGGTGGGGCTGGTAGGCAGAGAGAATATATAGAAGGAGAAATCTGGGAAGAAAAAAGAAACAGCCAGAGAAGGAAGAGGACTCCAGGGGCCAGCCACCCAGCTACACAACAAGCCACAGAGTAAGAGTAAAATTTACAGAAGTAAGAGAACAGGAAAAGTCGAGAGGCAAAAGGTAGATGGGATTATTTAAGTTAAGGAAGCCTGGCTAGAAACAAGTCAAGGTAAGGCTGGGCATTTATAATTAAGAATAAGCCTCCATGTGTGATTTATTTAGGAGCTTGGTGGTGGACCCCCTAAAAGAGCAAAAAAAACAGACAACACCACCTGAGTATGAGTTTCTCAGCATCCCAGGTGTGATTCATTGTGATTTTAAAGTTCTCTTAATACATTTATATATGTATACACACACATATATACAAGCATACATACACACATATACACAAACATACACACCCACATATATATACTTTTATATATATATATATATATACAAGCATATATACATAAATATATATACACACACAAGTATATGTACACACATATATACAAGCATACATACACATATATACACAAACATACACACCCACATATATATATACTTTTATATATATATATATACAAGCATATATACATAAATATATATACACACACAAGTATATGTACACACATATATACAAGCATACATACACATATATACACAAACATACACACCCACATATATATATACTTTTATATATATATATACAAGCATATATACATAAATATATATACACACACAAGTATATGTACACACATATATACAAGCATACATACACATATATACACAAACATACACACCCACATATATATACTTATATATAATATACAAGCATATATACATAAATATATATACACACACAAGTATATGTACACACATATACTCAAGTATATGTACACACATATACACACACAAATATATACACAGCATATATACATGCACAGATATATACACAAGCATGCATACATGCACAAATGTATACACATTTATATATACAAACACACACACACACATGCACGTACAAACCCGTACACATACATATTCACCCCCTTGCTTCTGTTTTTCTGCAAACCTGACTAAAACTAATTGGTACCCTGTTTTCTTAATAGTTCTTTGTTGTTTTTCTTTGGTTCTCATATCTACCCTCTCTTTTTTCCTTGCTGACCTGTAGGTGGCGCTCTAAGCTCAGGATTACTCGTATTTCCCTGCTTGACATGATACTCAGTTTTAAAATCCTTGGCCCATAGGCACTTACAGAAAAAGCATGTCTGTTTAATAATCCATTTAGGCATTCTTGATGTCATCATTTGGAGCATGTTCTGTTGGTAATTGCTTATGAACAGTTCTGCACATGGTTGCTGAGGTGGTCAGTTTATTAGCACTGTAACTAAGACAAAATTAATGTTGAATTTTGTTGAGTAAATCCATCTTTGATTCACATTGACTCATTTTAAGTTACAAATTTTTCCTGACCTGTATTGTCATTTCAAATTTCTTACTGTGCTGACCTCTTACTATTCACCATGAGACCAAGCTATGAACTAGAGTCTGTTTTGCATGTTAAACATAATAAATAATTACGTGCAAATACTTAAAAAGAGAAGTGCAGAAATCAATAATTTGTTTCAGAACAATTCTGTGTATTATTCTGAAATCAGATGCAAATGGTTTTCATTGTAATGTGTTTTTGCTTTGATTAGTATTTGTTAAATCATAATATATTACTACTTTGGAGAATAAAGCTATGTAAGGATTGTCTTCTTTTTTACTGTTGTGACTTGATTTTTTGAGACAAGATTTTACTGTTGCCTTGAATTCACAGTCCTCTTGTCTCCGCCTCACAGTGCAGGATCTCAGGTTTGTCCACTAAGCATGACTTCCTCGCTCTTAAATTTTGCACAGCTGCAAATCCAATAACCTTGATGTGTCTGTGCAGCAGACAGACGACTTTGCTGTTTAGTCATCCTGTGAATGTTCAGCTTCATTCACAGCTGCTTAGAGAGGTACAGGTCCAGAGCAACGTGATGTGATCCTCAGGTTCCATGACTTCATGTGCTTCTGTCCTACCATCCCTCTAGTGTGGCCAGTCCTGTCAGACCATATGGTCATCAGAACAATATTAGTGACAATTTCCTGCAGAGAGAATACATCAATATCTAGACATTAAGTACTGAAGCACATGAAGCAGATGGCTTGGTCTCCGACATGTTCTTTTTGATTTAAGGTAATTATGCTTTTAAAAATATTCTCCATGATTGTAAATATACCTGGAAAAAAGCTGAATATGAATATGATCATTTGAATTCATTTCCAAAACCACTAAGAGTGTCACTACTAATTTTGAGCTGGGTCCATTTTCTGTTTAATGAAAGGATGATAGCGACCCACTAAACTCTTTAGTGGAAGGACTGAGATAAGGTTTGTGATGTCTTTGAACTGTGCAGTAAAAGCAAAATAAAACATTTACTGCATAGAAAATACTGTACTTTCTGAGAGCCAGAGTCCTGTTGCTATAGAAATCATTATTCCATAACCCAGTATTAATTATGTATTGCACACCTCATGTCTAGCCCCTAGAAATGAAAAGAAATATGCATGCATGCCTCATGGTACCTGTGACTACCTGCCATGAAGGAGGTCTCCTTAGTGCTGTGGAAGCAGAGAGGGAGTGGCTAACTTTCTCCTGTGGAACAAAGGAAAGCTCCAAGGAAGCACCAGTATCTGGAACTTAAACCGTGGGAGGGATACAGTGGGCAGACGTGTGAGGATGCAGAGCAGAGATGCATAGAGGTACAGGGTGTTCAGGGAAAAGGGAGCAGTTAGAGAGAAGAGCATGGGATCCACAAAAGGCAATGAGGGTGAAAATATTTCCTAAGTTTTTATTGCTCATTAACACCTTACTCTGAAACAGTTTCAAAAATGGATTTCTTCTTGGGAGCTTGCTAATTTCAAATTGACATATTACTGATGTATCAAAAAAATTCTCTACTTCTAAAAGAATTTCTAACCTTTTACACGTTCTGTGTTCTGTGTCTTTTTTGTATCTAAGGAATTTGAAGAGATTGAGGGACAATAGCATTCTAAAATGCCAGTGACATAGGAATGGGAAAGTATTTTCCTGTGGTTTGCCTGTGAATAGCCAATCCACTTGTACATAGGGAGCTGTTTCTCAGGTTGTGGAATATAATCAACCTTCTTTGTAATCCATTGTGATTGCTAAAAATATTGTTCATGGCAGAGCAGAACTCTCAATTTCAATCCATTTTGTAAGGTCCATTTTAGAAACTATAATTATTACAGTAAATGTATTATTAGTCAGAAAGAAATTTAATAGGTACACTATTAACAAACCATTCTTTGGTTTGGTGGAGAAAAATAGAACCTACAGACATACAGTTTATATATATATATATATATATATATATATATATATATATATATATATATATTTGATAGGCAACATGATTCCTATGGACATTTCTCATCCAAATATTTGTGTTGTATTTAATTGACAAGCAAGGGATTAAGAATCAGAAGAGGTGTAGGTTTGCTTTTTTGCCTCAAGACTTGAAGTGTTCTTTGTTACTTCTAAAATGTCAGCTGTCACCATGGAAAATAATTCTATTCTTCGAGATAACTGCAAACTTGCATTTGCTATACATTGAAGGCTTCCGTCTCTAACATGCAGTTTTTAATCAATCAGTAGCTAAGAATGACTTGTCAGGGGAAAGGAAATATCAAGTAAGCTGATGTCAGAGTTACTCCCCAAAGTCCAGTCCATGAATGCTAAGTTCTACTGGAAACTTACCTCAGGCAGACCACATTTTTCTCCCTACAACTGAGGACACACTGTCTCTCAACAGGGGTGCATAATTTGTGTTTTATTGTCTTACACACATGGGCTTTGATTTCGGAGATGCTCTAAAGGGGTTGGGGAAGTGAAAAGTTAATTTATGCAGAATGTGCAGAAAAGAACACAGAGGAGGGCATTGGAATCTGTTCTTGCAGTAAACTGGCATTCTCTCTGTCTCTCTGTCTCTCTGTCTGTCTCTGTCTGTCTCTGTCTGTCTCTGTCTGTCTCTGTCTCTCTCTCTCTCTCTGTCTCTCTCTCTCTGTCTCTCTCTCTCTGTCTCTCTCTCTCTCTCTCTCTCTCTCTCACACACACACACACACACACACACACACACACACACACACACACGCATGCACGCACTATGTTCAGGTCAAGCTCCTGTTCTTTCTCCTACCCTAATATTTAGCCTCAAAGAAACTATGGATTTAATGAGGCCATTTTGCTTCAAGTATCTGGAATTTCTGTTGTTTGAAGAGAGACACTTCCTCAAGAGATCGAGAACATGACTTTAGCACTCCACGGGGACCTCAGTTGACAGGAATCAATGTTCTAAGAAATGCTTCCTACACATCTCTAGAGATTTTTCTTCTGTCAAGTTCTTTATTTTCATATTAAATAACTTGAGAGGTTTGAACAGTCATGTTTGTGCGTACGTGCATGTGTGCATTTTAGCACGTGTCAGATGAGTATGTGTGTGCAGATGAACACGTGTGTGTAGCTGAGGGAGAAGTACCATAGGTCTGGGTTTTGATGGGTATGTTATCTGTCATGTGTATGATTCTGATTCCAATGTGAAAATGAATTGCCCGTTCCTTCTGTTCCTCGATCAAAGTTTCACTTTCTCTTTAAGCCCTTTTAAATGAAGTAACTCACTACATTGTTGTTGAAGTTTACTTTAATCTAGCAATTCTCCTGCCTCAGTTTCCCAAGTCCGCAACGTAGAGCTCAAAGGCAAGAAGCAACATAAGGTCCACCTGGGACATGGCCTCCTATTAATTTTGTAAACTAAATCAATTTATTTGTGACTCAGACACTGGACAGGTAGAGGAGGTAGTTATCATTCAGCCTCTCACCAGCATTTGGATTTGGGAAAATCACCTACTTGTTCTCCCGAGCCTCTTTTTTTCTTACTATTTTGATATTTTCCTTCAATCCACTCTCTACAAATGTGCACCCCAGACAGAGCCAATTGCCTGCATGCTAGGTTTTGCTTCCTTTAGCGAGAGAAACAGATCTGTGGGTTATGAAGTTGCATGATAGACAATGCTCTAAACTCAGTTCATGTGGAAAGGGAAACAAAAGGAGAATTTTCACTTTGCATTGTCTATAAGAGTACTTAGAGGACACTGGTACCTGAGACAAGGTATTTATTTAGTCACTCTCCAAGGTGTGCTCTTGTAATTCACAGAATCTATAGCAGCACGTCCCAAAGTTCTGCAGATGGATTGGAGTTGAGTCACCTTGTCAGTTTTGAAACAATGTCATAAATATAAATGACAAACTCTCCAGGAAAGGCAACAGATATGCCACTTTGCTAGCTTCCACAAAACCTAATTTTCTGTGCAACTCCCGGTGCATTAAAAAAATAAAATTTAACACAAAAGTTGAAGGGTGTTTCCAGATGGCCTTTTATTAGCTACTGAGGAGAATGCTGCTTCGATTCTCCTTCAGCCGCTCACATCACAGCAGCAATTTTCACTTTCCTATGCACTGAGCTCTTATTGCGGCATAGCCAGCTAAAGGACACTTGGAGGGCAGGTCCTTGAAGGATTTGTTCAGGTGACCACGAATCTGGATTTGCCCTGCTTCCTAGAAGGTCGGGCAATGCCGAAGCATCCCACTTTTTCATTATTTCCACCTTTGACCTCTCTGATGACATTTTTGCTGAGTGTAGACTAACACAGAAAAATTTGGAGTGGACAAAATAAAGTTATTGTCTTGGGGTTTATTCTGCTGAGCACACCCCAATTGTTCGAGACAGGAATTTGTGTTGTAAAGTCCAATCAACCCGATTTTGCCAAAAACATTCACTAAAGGTAGGATTAACTCTTACTTTCACTTTCCAAACAGCAGAGATAAGTCCTTGTCTGCTTTCCATGACTGACTTTGTCCTTTGCCATTAGCTCTCCACTCTTTCTGGTTATATCTTTTTAATAAAAATATTCCAGAAGCAAATCCACATAGAGTATAGATTAACAGGCATTTGGGGGGGATTTAGAAAGAGAAGAATCAGATCAGGGTTCAGTAGATGTATTTTTGGCTAAATTGTGGGTAGATCTTAGATCCTGACATGTGTTGATTTACACGGTTACTGGGAATGTGATGGCCAGGACATAACAGCTTTGATATGAATGGGAGTAACTCAGGCCTAATTGAAGGAGGTAAAAAAAACCCTCCACTGATCTGCTAATCACAGTTCTCCAAGGGCTCTGCATGAAGCCATCGCAGGGCTTCCCCAACTCACACTCTTAAAGACAGGATTTGGAGAATAAGACTATGGCACACTGGCCAATATTCATTCTGACCAATCAATGTTCTTGTCAAATAGTATGGCTATCAGTATAGTTCCGTAAGAACAGAATGCATTTCCGTGATCAGGGACTTCCTCAAGTAGAGGGAGAAGAAAGCTGGATAAAATACCGTGCTACAATAGTGATGCTCTGAGTTGAAATACAAAGGTGTGGGGGGCAAAGGAAGAGTCAAAAGAGAGGAAGGACAAGTGACATTTGCCTAGACAGCACTGGCCATTTAACCTTTAACTATCACCAGCCATCCCAAGGAGAATGAGTTATGATTCCCACATAAAATGAGAAACGAGGCTCAGCATGCTTAAATGGCTTTTCTGTCAAGTTGTGCAGTCATGAGTTGAAACCAGGGGCATCGCCAGGGCCTGCTGCATTTCCAC